ATCATACGCCACGTTGGCCGCAACTCTTTCGCACGGCTGCGACCGGGGCATGCTACGTATGTGGGGCACAATACACACAATGCATGCAACAAATACCAGCGGAATTGGAGTACAGTAAATACCCTTAACTAAAAAACTGCCTAAAACACAACAGTTTGGGCAAGAGTGCGAATAACGTTTAGATTGGCTAATTCTCAACCAAAATACTTCAAAACATTAAAGATAAAATAAACACAATGTTACTTTGATATAAAAATACAATTCATTTTGTGGGTAAGAATTGCATTGCTTTAAATGGGTTTTCCGTTTCCATTATCGGGCACACACTATCGATTCATATATGTATTACATGTAGTATAGCGATTTATCGCTAAAAAATATTTAGTTCTGCTTATTGAAATTCAAAAGGGATAAACGGGAGCGTCCCCTCTCCCAACTCTTTTATATTCACCCCCTTTAGCCTCTGGCATAGCTACAAATAGTTGGGTGAGTAGAAAGTAGCAGAAGCGACCAAGTTGCCGCCGGGCAAAGCAAATATAGTACCAACAAATACCAGCAAGCAAAGCCAACAGTCGACACTTGGCCAGGACTTACTACTGCCGCTACACGAGCAAAAAATATATTTTTCAACTTAATAAAATGTGGACTAGAAATCTAGAGTACATAAATAAATATATTTAAGCCAGTAGATAAAAGCGATGATAAAAGAACAACATGGTTTTATGACTACTTTCATTGCAGTCTATTCATTTTAAATTTTAAAAATTAAAAAAAAAAAATAATACAACGTTTACAGCTCTTTTAGTTGCCAAAAGTCATTAGAAAAAGAACCATAAGAGTTTTTTATGTGCAAATGCATTTGGAACCACTCAATCAAATATTTTTTTTTTGCGAAATATGTAACTGTTACCTTAAAGTTATACCCAAGAGATATACTTAAGAAATTTCAGCTTCCCCTTACATATTTTTGTCTAGTGCTCTTACTTATTTTGCTCCTGGTGTAACTTTTGATTTTGCTGTTGCTGTTGTTGTTGCTGCCCTGCAGCGACCGCAACGCCTCCTGCCGCAACTTTGGCTGCCACACTATAAATATAACATTAATTTTTATGTTTTCATATTTAGCAACGCTTCGCTGGGCATACACACACACTCACACACACCCATAACACTACTACTCGAACACCCCGAAGCAGTCGCTGCCATAAAGATATGGCCATTGAATGACGTTTATGAGCGACGTCGACGCTGCGCAGCATTCACTGTTAAGCAGTTAGCAGTGGATTAACAGCGCTTTTCCAGCAGCATCCACAAATGATTTCTTGGTCGAAAAACGCTGCTAGTGCGCCGCGGTCGCCGCGACTGCGACGCCGGCAATGGCAGCGACGTCAACTGCGACAGATTCTTTTGTCATTTGCCACATGTGAAATTTACCGTTACTTCTCCGCTCATTCATTCGCTGTTTACATTCCGATTCGAAGACTTTTCCCAATCGGGCGCGACTTTCGAAAACATTATCCATTTGCAATTTTGATTGTTATCACCCTACGTTAATTGCATACAGCCCTAGACAAATCATTAGAATTTAAGGTTTCAAACTTGAATTTTGATCTCCGCTAGTTGATTTCGCTTGCTCCGAGTTTTTGAATATTGTAGTAGTGAGTGCTGTGAAATGAGTAATAATATAAAAATAAGCTTTCGAATATAATACTTTCATTTATCAACATTACAAAAATAGAAAACGTTCTTTAAGAAGCTTTGAAGAATCAAAGCTATAACCATAAGCACACTATTAAATCGAACTTATGCTAGGTTTCAAAACAAATCTAAAAAAGTACATTTAAATAAAAATGAAACCAATCCCAACACTTTGTGAATAAACAAGTTTTATAAAGAATCAAACCAAAAGAACTAAAAGCAAGTTTTCTTCTTTCTCGGTTTATATAAACCCACTGCAACATGTTAATTTCTAAAATATGTTAATAGAAAATTAAATCAACTCTTAGTGGGGTGATAATGTGGTAAATCGACAGAGAATTTGATTTCAAAAAAATTTACGTTCAACTTTTAGAATTGTGTTGACAGTTGAGTGGATCGGAACAAAACTTAGTATTTACAAATTAAACAAATAAGATACAAAGCGTGATGTAAAATTTAAGTGTAAGGACCGTAGATTTATTTAACAACGCAACTAAAATGACAAACAAACTTGAAGTTATCAGTGCAAATAAGAATAATAAAGAATTTCCCATAAAAAGAGAAACAAAGTCCAAACAGACCTACCCCACAAGATGTATAGACTAAACTAAGTTGAGATCACCAGACACCCAATATAAGTAGCTCCAACGAGACATTTGCCATAACAGCCCTAGATACTTAAGTCATGTTATTCCATACTGCGCTATAATGCCCTAAAAAAATGTAATGGTATTTGCTATATAGAAATAAAGCGCACATTTGATAAAGACATGATTCAGAATTTCCGTTTGGAACTTACTTTAAACACTTATAAAACTAATATAGTTCGCGAACCACTCACGAATTACTATCTCTTCTAAAACGGCAGGTTCAAGTAAAGGAAACTTCGATTTATAGTGATTAAATCAAACTTTAAGTAAAAGAAATTTATTGAAGACTCTATTTATTTTCATTCAGTAATAGCATATTATATTTTAGTCTTACAACATTTCCTAAGATTTTTTTAATATTATTTTTTTTCTGTGTGAATAGCATGGCAAAAGTTAAACATATGCAGAGATCTTTAGACTTACCAACCATTTTTTTAAATGGAAGAAACTTCCAATCAAAAATTTAAAAAAAAAAACCAGTGTACACCGCTTTCGGTATCCGAAAAAAGCACGATTTCACTCAGACCACTCAGAGATTAAAGAGTGCCGATCATTATCTGGCCCAGCGATAGATGAGTACAGCCCTTTACGCCTGCCAAAACCACAAAAGACATATATAAATATCTATCTATATACCGATATATCTGTTTTGCTAAACTCACACTCGACAGAACTTGAACACACGACTCGGGGTTGTAGGGCGATAAAATGCAGTGTCAATTGAAGTGCTTGATTAGGCGATTTGCGAGCGATTCGCCAGCGATTCCGAATGCATGCCTGCAATTAGAAACGGCGTCGCACTGCAAAATAAATGGGTGGCAGGGGCGGTGATTTTTGGGGGGCATACAGAGGTCTGTCATTCACAAACATGGCGGGTGGTGCTTGAAAAATGATTTACACGCGTAAATCATAAATTATGCCCACTTCAAGTGGCCCGTTACGCCAGAGAATCCATGACAAATGCAGATGACGCCCAGGCAACAACCGATGACGTTTGTGATTCCGATGTGATGCTGATGCTGATGTTGATTGTGAGTTTGATTGAGATTTTGATTGGGATGATGCTAGTGCCGATGAATGTTATGAAAAGAAGATGACGCGTTTTAGCACTGACACCTGCCTCTGACCTCCGAGCGACCCCATTGTCCGTAGGCTGTGGCTTTTCCTCCGCCCCTTATCAGTTTGGCAAGGCAGCTGGCCATCGACGTCATTCAACTCTACCCAATCCCTGCCACTACACGCGAATTCAATTTCAAATTTCACACTTTCAATCACACTCACACCTGGATTGATTGAAAGCGGCCACACTTTCAATGCTAATGAGCTGCGATTCCGCTTAACCATCGCCGTGAGGCAATTCAGTTCGCATTGGTCTTTGCTGGGCTGCGCACCGAGAAACCTTCCGGGTCTTCAACAAAAATATAAGCAATTCCACCTATTGACACCTGGATATAGTTTCTGTGTGCCCATGCAGAACGTCACAATTGTCGTACGATTATCGCACCATTTTCACGTCCGCTTGTCCAGTCTAATTAAAAAGTATCGTTCTTTTCGCACTGATAAACGCGGTGGCAACGCAAAAAGGAAGTGGCGTGCATTAGATAAGGTCCGAGAAACATATTTTGGGCCAGTACGATGCATATAAGTGATCTCTGTGTGATGATAGTGTTATCCTTGGCGTTGTTTCTTAATCCAGGTTGGTACTGTATTTATTTAGTTACAGAATAACGGTCGTTAGATTTTATATCTTAACAATAACTTCTGACTTAATCTAAATTACTCACAATTAAAAAAATGCCTGAACAATAAGCACTTTCTGTGCAATTAACCTTGGAAAAAGTATATATAACAATATTCAATTCGCAAATATCACTGTCAAAGGCAAACAAGTTAGCACTTGAGTCCTTCTTTTGCTTCCTCGGGGGTTTTTACCGACTTTGAGTATAAAATAACAACAAATATTTGTATTTTAAAGTGGAATCTTTACAATACGACAAGATAATTATCAATACCTATTCAACATATGTATTTCCACGGAATTCTGTCTAGTTGTGAAATCAATAGAAGTAATTCGAAAGTACGATAAGGGCCGCATTAAAACAAAACAGGTCATTTTGAGTTAAGCCAAAACCAAAACACAAGTCAATAATTTTTAATTAATATTTTTATTGCGCATATTACAACATTGAGATAAGTTTGTTATTAAAAATTCTTCAGCATTTGTTTTTCAAAATAACAGTTATATATACGAGAAAACTATTTTTTTTAAATTATAATCTAAGTTTCTCAACAAATGTTTTTTAAAAAAAATCTTGATTTTTAACTACGATAATATTTAGATCTTAAAGTATTATGAGGCATTGATCTTTATGCAATTCACCTTAAACCCAGATCAATAGTTCTGACTTAAGAGCACTTTATAAAAGATCAGCGTTTAACTTAAGAGCAGAAGAAGACAGCATCGCAGAGAAAGCTGATCTGTACGAATCGCTCTCTTTATATCTCTTCGACGGCGTCTGGCCGTTTTCTTGTCAGTTTGATAAGGCCACCTTACCTTGAGACGGTGCAAAAACAAACACTATCGCAAACGGCAACGCTCTCAGCTCTCGATTTAAAAATCGTTGCCAATTCGCTTAAATTCGCAGGCCAATTGTCAAAGTGAATTCAGTTGAAAAAAGCGCGCTGTGTGAACCGGGCATCAACATTTTTTAGCGGTTTATTTTCAACAGAAAAAGACAAATAAATAAAAAGTCACCAGTCAAACAAACCACCTCATGTAATTGAAATATTCTAAAATTCCAAACGTTAATGCATTAATGTTTTAACTAAATTTGGGAAGACGCGTTGAGCACGTGCCGCACATTCGCAGACACCTTCAAAGCACCCCAAAAAATAAATCAAAATATAAGCAAACTGATAAGACTGAATATATCAGAGCGTGTGAACGCGTGGTAGCTGACAATATCCACAAAAACAATATTTAATTAATTAACGTGCGCGATCTAGGGGGCGTGGCGAACGCTCAACAACAATTTTAATTGAGCTTCATTAATTGCCAACGTCAACACACAAATGCATATGCTTCTACGTACACAGAAAACAACAAGTTTATTTTACTATCCAGAGATATATTTATATAAAATAATTTGTTCAAATTTTGCATATATTTCTTTAAATTATTTTTATGTGCTTTGTTATATACCAGTTTTATTTAGAAGTGAGAAACAACGAATGGATTTGCTGTGTATTTTCGTGCGTTTAACATCTAGCTCTCTTCGCATTTTTCGGTAAATTTGTTGTTGCTCGATATTTTGCTTACTTTTCTTTCGTGCTTTTTGGATTTTTACGGCTACGCCGCGTTTTTGTGTGTCGCACGATTTTTAACCAGTTTCTTCGGTCTTCTGAGGTCGAAATAAGAAATGAGAAGAGAGCCAAAAAAAAAGAGTATTTATTTTTCTTTTATATTTTGGTTGGCAAGCGATCTTTTAATGTTTTTGCGTTGGTTCTTGCGTTTATTTTTACGTTGACGCCAGCTCTTTTGGCCATTTCTCTGATTAGATAATCTCTGGCGAAGATCTCAAACTTCCTGCTTGGATTATCTAATGGCCATGGTCACCCAAACTCATACCCCTTCTCCCTCCGTTTCCAATACAGTGTAAATACAATACTTTTTGTGAGATCAAAGGATAAAGTGTGAAAACAAGAACAAAATAAAAATACAAACTATAGATAAAGCGAAAACAAAAGCAAAAGAAAAGCAAAACGATAGCCAAGCAAAAGACCATACCATGGCCATAGAGTCACGCTCTACGGGCACTACAAGTGATACCATTAAACCCGCCATTAAATCAACAATAAGTCAAAAATCTCCAGTGGCACTCAACAAAAGACTGGCTGAGCAGCTGTTCCGTTGCGCTTGCGCCAATTTTAACCTTCTTCTACTGACGCTGATTCTTGGATTTGGCAAATGCTGCTCTGCCACGCCCATTCCGCTGAGTACGCCCTCAACATCCACATCTGCAGCTAGCCCACATAGTCCACATAGTACACAGCCGATTGACGAGGGCGGATCGCTGAGCAAACTGCTCGATGGCAAGGCCTTCATCAACATGGGCTTCAAGTTTCTGAATGTCTCCGGAAAGATTGGCACCCCCCTCGGCATAGGTGAGAACCCAAGAACTGTGCATCAGGTGAGATGCGATTGATAAACCAAAGAAAATATCAAGAAAACCAGATTGAGATGGTGGCGAAAGGGGGGCAGAAAGTGCGAAGTTTGTTTTTAGCTTAGCATGTGCTAATTTTAGACCACAGACGACGGCGAGGTTGAAATTGAAGTAGAAATTGAAGTTTGGATACTCTAGCTAAGGGCCTAGATGGCTAATAACTTTCCAAATTTATATTAACAGATTAAAAATAAAATATAATGCGAATTGCGACCAAGAATTTTAACTTAAAACTTTGTTGCCAAATTTTTAGAATTTCTTCCATTTATTTAAAGAAATTTCCTTTTCAACATAAGCTTGTATAAAAATCTAAAATCGTTAACTTAAAAATTAGCGCAGATATTTTCAACACACGCTTTTACAGCGTTAATTGTTAAATATTATCAGCTTAGTTAGTTCACTATACACATTCAAATTAAATGATGTTGATAATGTTTAATGATTGGCTGATGGTCTATTCATAGCCTATCCATTAACAATTATCACCCTACACATGTGCCCTGTATGTGTAAATGATGTTTATAATTTTTAAGAATGTTTAGCTTAAAACTGCTTTTAAATAAAGCAATTTTTTAAAAACTTATATGTGTATTAACCTTAATAATAAATAATTTTCAGCCCTTAAAGGGCATCCAAACCTACTTAATGTAAATGAAGGAAAAAATATATGGCCTTTCAATATTATTATTTGATATTGAATTTCATCAACAATAATTTATAAACCGCACAATCTCTCCGACAAGGGTATCATTTAAATGTTGAGTCATTGAAAAAACTTCACACATCATGCACTTCAAATGGGTTCAGTTTTACAGATACAGACACCGATGTAGTTGCAGATACAGATACCAAAGTGCACTTGCCACTTGTTGCACACACAGCACCGGCTACCGTGGTACCAATATATCCGAAAATTGTTGATCAACTTCCGCATTGATTTCCGCCTTGCTGACCACAGTGTTTTTATATCTTCTATGGTTTTAAGATAAGAAAAGCGTTTGGCGTCTGTCTGTGACGTCTTTTTTTGGCACGGGCCATTCCAGTCGTAAATCTACCTTTAAATCTAGCCACCTGCTTTGGCCAATAGGGATTTGCGTTTAGTGCTAGCCCTGAACTGGGGATTATCTTATCGGTCAATTTTACGATTTGTTTTTATGCATTTCTCGACCGCTGGGATTTTGCGATTTGGCAACAAGTGGCCAATCAAGGGCGGTCAGACAATAGTATTTCCCTCCAATAAATCAAAAAATGAAAAAATGAAAAGATAACGAGACAAGTTTTAAAACGTTCTAATAAGTCTTTCAAACGTTCTAGACATTAACTTACTGAAGGTAACAAAGTGGAGTGACATTATTTTAAATTTAATATTAATATTGTTCTCGCAATTCTTTGACCTAATATTTAATTTCGAAAATATTTTAAACCCGGTAAAACAATATGTGTTTTTAAAATCCAAAAATAACACAAAAATTTAAAAATAACATAATTATTTGAATTTTGTACTTAGCTTTTGGGACTCTTGGACTTTGCTCTAAATACATTAAATTGTTGACAGAAAATATACATATTCCACATAACTCTCTCACAAAAAAGAATGCGCATTTCAGAGTATTTTGTATAAGAAATTGACGTAGTCCAGAAAATTCGTCCGCCAACTGCGGATTTTTGGTTTATTTTAAATATTCGTAGGGTGTGAGCTTAAGAAAATGCTTATATATATAGACCCAGACGAGCCCCTATTTTTCTGTCGATTTGCGTTGTAGGATAGCCCATTATGGGACATCATCTCTTTCTTATCTCTCAGAGAGTCACACTCTACCAAGCTGTTGAAATTTTCCTCTGGTGATTTGTTGCTAATTCCATGTGATTTTTCTCGCCTGAGAGATGCTGTCAGATAAATTAACATATGCTTGATTTGATATATGCCAGCGCATATATCTATATTCGATTGCGATGTTGCAAGGTCGCCAAGGAGAGACAGAACTTGATTAAAATTTTATTTGTGCGCCCCATTTCGCTTTAGTTTTTAATTTATTTGCTGTGCCAACAGATTTATCTAGCATATATAACTAGTTTGTGCCAGAATCGACGACAAACAATAACAATAACAAATTAAATAGTGGGCGTGCTCATCTTACGTAGAGAACTCGATGTTGATGCAGTTTAATTGTTTTGTTTGTTGACTAGTAAACATGTTTTGATTGATTCAACAATTCAGGCGAAATTGTTGATGCATCGTACGATGCCCAAATCAATCTTCTTACTGATTTCATCCCCCAGGAATCACGTGTTATGCCATTTTATTTATAAAATTCAATTCATTCAGACAATTATCAGGTAATCCATTGAGCTTGATCTTGACGCGATCGAGGGGCTGGGCTTATCAATTCCTGCGTAGTTGTATTAATTAATATTAATTTGTTTAATCGAAAAATAGATTACGGATTAAAAATTGTTCCCACCATTAAACACCTTGTTGGACCTTATTCTTATCAAACTTTGCTTATTTTTTTCACACAATTATGAATAATTCTGTGCCTGCTCAATTCACTATGACCATGAGATATCTTTTTATCAGGAATAATTTGATTCGATGTGGTTATCGCAGTTTGTTAATAGATGGCCTATTGGTTGTGAAAATCGGATGATTATGACAACTTGCAGTTTCTCACTTTTGGGGGTAAAGTGAAGTTTATTGGGTTAAGCTAACCGGATTGCGAGTGGACTTGTTTTTGGCTATGCGATTAACGAAATCATTAGATATGGTAAGCAGTTTGGTTTTCGTTATTTGTTATGATTATTTATTCATAGTCTCGCACTGCGGCTGAGTTTTTTCGAAGTTACCGACAGACAGTCTGCTGGCTACCATGTTGATTTAAACTTGTTTTTTAAATCTTTGGGGTGTGTCCGTTTAAATACGGAAACTCTGTAACCAATAACCAACTTTAACTAGTTCAATTAAGTTATATTAACTTGAACTTGATTGATAGGGTAGAAAAATATAAAAGGGGTTAAATAAATAGGCAAACAAAATATATGTTTTCATAGCCTGTTTTCAATTTATTTTCTAGAATATAAAGAAATTTTATATGTGTATTTATGTACATATTTTTTCCTATTTTATATTAGGGAGTCCCATTCTTGCATTACTCTTGATGTTCCTTCAAAAGGAAACGTAACATATGACCCTTATCAATTTCAATAAGTTATGCTAATTTGATTTAAGCCCTGTTCAGGGTCACGAAGTATAAATAAATTTGTATATTGTTTCTATAATTGTCTAGAGAACCTAGACTTTTCATTTTACCATTATCCCGTTTTAAATTCTTCTTCCAGCCCACAAACAAATATTTATTTTTGGACTTATTTGCTAGTCACACAAGGCAAAGGAACTCGAGGCTTGACGTCATCTGAAAATACTTGAATGAAATTCCCCCATCTGCCCCACAAACATGTTCATGCATCTGTCCAAATTATAATTCGCCATTTTGTTGACTGTCATCATGCATAATTGAAAACAATTCCCGACCAGCCAGCGCGGCGTCACGAAATCGAATTGATTTGACCTTATTGATTGACGGCTGGCAATCGGAGATTGCCCTTTGTTTATTTTGCCACACGCACTCCATATTGCTGCGAACTTCAATTACAGCAATTAGCAAGTTTATGCATATGGGAATGGGAATGGAAATGGTAAAACGTTGGGCTATTGAAATATGCAAACGTGTGATGGATCGTCCGGAGGAGGAGGTCATCTGAATGGTGAATGGGTCAAGCGGACAGCTGTCATCTGCAGGCGGGATAGGAAAACCCTTCTCAAACGGTTCCACTTCAGCATTTATCCCTCCTTTATTATCGCTTTTTCTGGATTTCTGTTTGTTCAATGGCAATCTATTACATTCATTTTTTTTAGATGTCACAATTTCGTTTTAGGTTCTTACACAAAAAAAAAATTTGTAAAACATAATAATTTAAACAGTCAAAGTCTTTCAGAAAGATACTTTTAAAATAAAAATAAAAGACCTAAAACCCAAAAAATGGGTGCAAGTTTTTCTGCTTTTTTGCTTATAACTATTTATAGACTTAAAATTTTTAATAACATTGTATATTATGATACATTAAACAAAGACTTAGCTTTTACGTCTACCAAATTGGTTTTTGTAATGACATTAATATCTGAATTAAAATTGCCCATTTCAAAGATATCTTTTTTTTTGGTGTAAGACTGTTGACATTGCTTGGGTTTTTTCTGCCTGCCTGATGGCTTGTTTTGTTTTGAATATGTGTATTGCATATTTTCAAGGAAGTCGGGGTCGGAGTTTTGAGGGAGGAGACCAAAAACTTTGTGATCCATTTTGTTTGAGGCTTTTCTGTTGATTAAAAGCCCCTCTTATCCTCCTCTCGTTTATCGTTTAGTATGCAAATTACTTGTCACACTCACACATATGCACGCAGGCGGATATGTATGTCTGTGCGTCTGCTGGTGATTGTTTCTGAAGTTTTTAGCCCTAATCAATTTGAGCTTTTGTTATTTTTTCCTTTAATGAGAAAAGTTTGCTGTGCGCAAGTGGCCCCAAAGCCCGTAAGTCCGTAACTCCGAGTCGTTATAATTAGCTTTAAGCGTTTGTTTGCCCATCTAAATCAGGATCTGTTTATGTTGCAGGGCAATCTCTGGAGGCCAAGTGCGATGAGAAGCAGTTCCAGTGCCGGAGTGGCGACTGCATTCCAATTCGATTTGTGTGCGACGGCGATGCGGATTGCAAGGATCACAGTGATGAGCAGATTAAAGAGTGCAAGTTTATAGGTGAGTTTTACTTATTTAGTTTTATTTATTTAAGAAGGGCAAGAACCTAAGAGTTTATATAACAACATATAAAACCATTTCAAGACTAAGCTAAATATTGTGTTAGTAGCCATATGTTAGTGGCTTATTTAGTATAAATTTTAAGCAGCCTAAAATACACAGTTCACTTAGCCACTGAACAATATTTCATTTGAAGCAATTAATTATTTTGTTGTGTTATAGAGATTTATTATTGCTCATTGAAAATAAAACAAACAAAATTTGTTGACTTATTCCTAATTTGTTAGCGTATCTAATAAATTTGCTTAATTATTATTTGTTTGTTTATATTAGATTTGTTTTGAACGTAATATTTTAGAATATTTTTCAAGATAAATATGGTCGAAGCTTTTGATTGCATACTTCCAGGCGGCCGCTGCAATAGAACGTGCACAGTGAAGTCCGCATAATTAGGCATGGTCTGCTGCGGGGCATTTGTTGGTTTTCCTTTTGTTTGAATCAAACCTGAAACGACCATCGAAATGGAAACTGAAACTAGTTTGCAACATTTACGCATCGTAATTGTCGCTGACTGCTGACCAAAAACTGTGCCATGGCATTCCCTCGCCGCGGGTTTTTTTTGTATCTGTGTATCTCGATGCACTTGTAACTGCAACGCACTTAGCATTTAGCATGTAGCATTTAGCTGACTGCGGCATGCCGCTCGGTTGCATCAGCAATTTTTCGTCGCTGTCTGCCGCCTTATCATTTTCCGTCGCACGAGACTTTTGCGACTTATATGCGGCCCGATCGAAAAAGGAAACTATGTGAGGTCGTCTGCCCTGATTCGGCTTTATCGCCCAACTGACAGTTGAGCCAGACATCGAAAGTCGAGCCATCGAAACGAGTTCATCCATTTTTGGGATTCTGAAGGCGCATAACGCAATTGTTTTATGTAACTCCTTGCTGGACAAAAATTAATTCCCCTGAAAAGAAATTGATAATGCGCGGGGATGAGGCAGCAAAAACATTGCATTTCTGTTGAACTTGGGGAATTCGATAAGAGAGAGAGCTTGAATTTCCTGAATGTTGCTGACTGTTATTATGCTAAATACACTTAAGAGGCTGCATTATCTCAGCTAATGTATGTTATTGCGACATTAAAATATTTTTATTGCACGCGTAAAATATGTCAAGGGGGTGGTTTTGTTTTCAGTTGATATATTATATATAAATTTAAATACATTAATGTACTGCACTTTAATAAAGAATTTGATTGGTTTTTAAATTTTTGATAATGATAAAATGAACATAATTTTATTGATTTGGTTCAGTAAAAAAAATTTTATTTATTAAATATAAATTTTTAGAAACATAAATAATTTGATAAGTCAGAAGGATATGCAGATTCATTTCAATGATCATTGCTTAAGTCAGGACCGCACTCATAATAATTTCGTAATGCTCTAGTTTTGTACTCGTTTGGAAAGCACTCAAACGCCGAGAATTCAACTCAGCTCGAGTCGAATTTTTGCACTCGACTCGCTGGATTTGGCAAGCTTTCGATTTCTCGGCTGCTGCGGAGGCTGCAAACAACTTTGGGCGGAATTGTTTTTAAGGATAGTCGCTCTGCAACCAACCACTCAGTTGGCGGCGAACCTCTCAACCAAACGGATGTAAACGCGTGAAACTGTGAAAGGACTGCCTCCTAGTTAAGAGGAATTTGCATATATATATTTATAATATATATATATATATAGACGGGGAAACCCCACAAACTCAAAGAATCGTGTGAAACGCAAGCCAACGAAAGTGTGCCAAGCTTGTGAGTGTCTGCCAAAAAGTAAACCGTAAAAGAATAAACAAATTACGCGAAAATATTAAAGGCTAATCGGACTGTGAGCAGCCAGAGTCTGCGTTGCCATGATTCGTTTTATCTCTGACAAAACGCCAGCAGCACAGGACATTTAAATCCTGGGGCCCGGGTCCTCACAGGACCGCCAAGGAAGTCCCCGTTTCTCGGCCTGTCCGGGCCAGACTTATCCTCAAAGTCAATCGGTGACAGTTGATGGGGCTCACTTCCCCCCAAGACAGCCGTTCTTCTTGCCATTTATCATTTAGTTGAACATTAAATGAGCATCCGCCATTTCTACGTCTGACCCCGAAATGGAATATCATGTTAACAATTTATAAATTCTGTCTGCTTGTCCGCTGTGGTCGCAATAAACTTGAAATGTCCTGCTCGAAGGCAGTTTTTGTGTGCGGAAATTATGCAATCAATTTATGCAAGTTGGCCAGACCACTTGAGAATGGAGGCGTTCTGTTTGTCAATTATAATCACGAATCTTGGTCAACTGAAGTACTCATCGTCTTATATTCTTTAGCTCCTTTAAAAAACATCGAAAAAGTCGCGGAAACAAACACAAAATGGATCGGATTTGGTGTTTATTCTTCGTTGCCAGTTTGCTGCACACTCAGAGCCACAGTTTTCGCGCTCTGACCATAAATGGTATGCAAATAATTATGGTGATTATTTCGTTTGTTGGGGATTTAATGGTTCAAAATGATATTTGCGAGGACAATACAACAAATTAAGTGGACATGTTGGAACGACAATAATCACGGATATTTTCACAATACTGAAGTTTATTTAATGAGAAAATATAAATATAGACGAATCATTATTTATGCATATCACATATAATTTCAGCGTGTTTGTGAACATGAGAAACCTAAAATAAATAAACAAAGAGCTTCAAACTGTTAATGCATTTTTTAATTGAATTTCTTCTAAAATAGTCGAAAATCCATTGCGTTTATATTTTTTATATGCAAAACAGTAATTAATAACATTATTTTAATTGCTGCATTTATTTGGATACAAATATTTTTCAATATAGCTTTATTGTTTTGTGTCAATTGAGCAGAAAGTCTTTAAGTTTTAGGCACTCTTTAAAACTCTGTAGTGTGGCTACCATGTCTTTTATCAGACTAGCTTGAGACCCAATAGTAAACACCTAACTCTTGAGAAGACTCGGTTAAACTAGTCGACGTTGGGGAAAACTTTTAACTATTATCAGGTCGAAAAGTTTTCGACACCTTTTAACTTAAATTAAACATGCCAAAATCCCAATCATCTGGATTTACAAAAATCCAGAGTTTCCCCATGGAGTTTTCCGCCAGTTTTCCGCATTTTCAGCAGCCCATGGCACTTATGCAGGATTCCAGCTATGCCTCGCATGCAACAGAATATTTTTGCGAGCGCCGCTTAACATTTGCATACAAATTGGCAGGGAGCAGAGACTGCGCGGGAATACATGAAAGCATCAACTGCCAAGGCCAAAGTTTTTTAATCAACTGAAAAGCCGTTTAAACTTAGTTAAAAAAATAAATTAAGCTCCAAAAAGCTGCATGACAGCGCAACTTTCACATTTTTATTTTTGTCATTTTGTTTTTTTTTTTTGGGAGTTGCTGCATAAATGCAATCTATGAATGTTTCGTCCTGTCATGTCAGACATGATACGCAAACTGGAGTAATTTGATTTTTAATTGGAGACCAAGGCGACATCAAATTTTAACACAGGTGATCAGCAAATATTACCAATTTGCCCGCTGGGCGCAGTTCCCGAACATAATATCACATATACATATTACAAAAACCAAAACACAAAACGCAAGGAAAATAACATAAAATAGAATCGACAATCATTGAACCAAAAGTGGGCGGGGAATTTATTTTCCTCTCTGCACTTGTTTTCTACCAATTCTTTTTATATGTTATATTTTCGCTTGGGTCACACATGTGGCCAATTTTTATTGTTCAGTGAATGTGTATTTATATTTGCCTTTTTTTTTTGCTTTTATTTTTTAACAAATATTGGCTCACATCAAAGTTTTGTTTTCTCCAGTTGCCTGCACACACGCACACACACACACACTCATTTTTTTATGCCACATTTCATTCCCGTTCATAAAAAGTTTAGAAAAGTAATCATATAAAATGTTATTGATATGGCCAGCACAGGCCTGACAAGCATAAAAATTGATTAAACTTTACACAACCAAACGTTTTTCCTTTGGAACTGGCCAAGATTTGCATAATCAACAGCAAATTGTAAAAGCCACAAGGCATGTTCCAATCATTTACACCAAAATGTTTGGAATTCTATAATTAGAGGCCGTAAAAATAGCTTAAACTGGCCGAAGAATTTTCCAAATGCCTGGCAACAATTCACACAACAAAGTTAGGGCACCAAAAATATCTAATTGTTGGGACTGTTTTCGAAAGTATGCAATAGAATTTTGTACCCTGTTTTTCCGGCTGTTGGACGGTATGGAAAACTGCGTTTCATAGCAACAAGTCAGCGAATTCAAAAACCGTCTAATCCGATTACAAGCCATACACGTATCCTATATATATATATATATATATATGCACACACGCGGTATAAAGTGACACATTTTGCTGGCCCTTGGAGTGGCATTGAAAAGCTATTGCAGCGCTCTTTTTGTTTGTCTTTCTGGGGTATTTTCCTTGCTCAGCACGTGCTCAAGTGCGTGTAAATAAATATGTGTGTTTGCGTGTGAATGTGGGCAGTGGGTGTGGCCAAACATATACTCATAAACACGCGCATATTTCTGAGTGGCCCCTATTCCCACGGTTGTTTGTTTGGCTTTTGTTTTTGATACGGGTCGTCCCCAGAGTTCAAAGCCAGGCAAACATACAACTGACAAATAAATAAATAATATAAGACCAAACAAACGGAAATATTTTCTAAACCGATTATGTTCATTTTAATAGTTCTGTGACACATATCTACAATTAAAAAAGTTAGTGAAAATAATATTTAGCAATTTAAGCTTAGGAACATAAGAAAGGAATTTTTAAAATATATTTCATAGCTCATTAATTTGCATTGTTAAGGAAATAATAGTAAACATGGATATGAACATCCTTTTCTTATAAGCACATCAGCTTTTAAATGAAATGCTTACATTACAAATTAAGTTGCTATTATTTTGAAATAGGAACAAGATAAGAACTACAAAAGTAATTGAATATTAGTATGTATAACTTTAAGTATAGTTTAAGCTATTCCTTTTAGTTCAAAAAAGGCAGGGCTTAAATCATTTTTATTTATGTTTAGTAAACCAAAGTGGTTCTACTTCAAGCTTAAGTAACTAAAGTATCACATAATAAATCACTACAACAGCTATATTGCTTGATTTAACTTGAATTCTGTTGCTCTTTGCAGAGGCCACTTGCTCGTCGGACCAATTTCGCTGCGGGAATGGCAATTGCATACCGAACAAATGGCGCTGCGATCAGGAGAGCGATTGTGCAGATGGCTCCGACGAAGCCAACGAATTGTGCAGTAAGTATTTCATCCTCCGGGAAAGAGGGCATTAAATCCATACGGGAATTCCGTGAGGAATGAACCAGCTAACCGACGACTATTTCGATTGTGTGTTTAGTGAACGCCTGTCCCAACAACGAGTTCAAATGCCAAACGGTCGACCAGTGCATTCCGCGTAGTTGGCTCTGCGACGGCAGCAACGATTGCCGCGACAAGTCCGATGAGGCGCACTGCAGTAAGCCCCAAAACCATTTCGTCCTTGCAATCGATACGAAACCACACAATGCCAACCACCAAACCCCACCCGCCGTTCAATCGCTTTCACTAACCAACTTGCCGCATAACTCATACGCACCCTTAATGGAGTGGCGCTTGCATAATTTTCGCAACAATTTCGCCCCCTTGTGCTTAGAAGTTTAATCAAGTCATTGAGAGTGAGAGTCCTGTGCTTGCATACGTGTGTGTGTTTTCTGTGTGCCGAGGTGCGCGTATGTATTGTGTACTCATTTGCGGCGGCCCTTTACAACAAGTATACGACGCGTTTTCGCATGAAATTCGCTTAATACCCGCCCGCAGACAAGTGGGCACCGTTGTCAGGGTGTGTCTACAGTAAAATTTAATAATGTAAAAATTTAAAGTTTTATAAAGTTTAGATTTTCAACATTTTTACAAATTTTAAAAAATGTAGTTAGGTGATTAGATACTAAGCCTTAAATAATACAATTTGATAAAGTCAAGCATTATCATTTAGACAAGTCCCAAAGATATAGGAATAATTATTGTCATGTCTCCGACGGATACACACGGCGTATGCGTAGTGCAATGAAAGTAATGATAGCTCAACACGCCACTTTCTCTTTCCTTTCTACCATTTTAATAAATGCTGCACATCGATTTCGATAGGAGCCCGCACCTGCTCACCGGATGAATACGCCTGTAAGAGTGGTGAGGGGCAATGTGTTCCTTTGGCCTGGATGTGCGACCAGAGCAAGGACTGCAGCGATGGCTCCGATGAGCACAACTGCAGTAAGGAAATTTCATCCATTTTTTTTTTACTTTTAGTAGAAAAATATTTGGCAAAGAAAATTTAATTAATTAAGGTTGCTTGAATTAAGTTTCTTGAAAGATATTTGATTCTAAAAACAAATTAATGTTTTGGCTTTAAAGTTTTAAGTACAATCTTCTTCCCTTGAAATATTTATAAACACTTATTATGAGTCCCGTACCACATTTCTCAAAAGCATTCTACCTTTACTGTTCGTTTAAGATTTTGTTTGCCAAGTCTTGCAGTGAAAATTTACCTATTTACTTTCATTTATTTTGTATTCAGAGTTTTTGTTGAGCTATCCTTGTATAAATGCTATTTAATTTTCATTGGTCTGCAGCAGCAATTCGCAATCCAACTGGTCTCAATGCTTTCCCCATTTTCCCATCCCAAACCTCATTGCTAACTTATTCCAACCGAAGTGAGGCAACCTCACTTCATTTCGATTCTGGTTTTAGTTCCCTTTCATTTAAGCATTCTATTTGCTGTTGCAAACATTCCAATGACCTCCGATGGATTGCGGATATCATATCGTTACTGTATTTAAAGTAAAGAAATGGAAAAACGAGAGTGTGGATGTGATTTGTAGTGTTTTCTTTTTCCAAGTTTAATTAAAAGCTTTTACATCATTTGGTATCAAATTTGACTATTTATTCAAGCTTTTAAAATGCCTATAAACTTCTTGCATTGAAATAGAGACGTTGCTTTAAATTTTGATTCATACTTTGGAAAACTGCACCCTTCTGTATGCATTCTTCCTTTGATTTTTTAAAAGCATTTATATTCGTCTTTCATATGTTGCCTTTTGATTTCGATTACCTTTTTTTCAGATTGAAAAAAGGCTTAGATACTTAGTTTTTTTCTTAAATATAATTTTTTTTGTTTAATATACTCCTTACAGTTAAAACCATTTTTATTTGGTTAGATATTTTTTCCACCAGTTCTTTCTTACCCTCACATTACGAACTCCAGTTTTAATTTCTTCCTTATCTACACAAACACACTCCACTCGAGACTATATTTACCCACAAAGTACACTTCATTCTAACCCCCACGTAACTTCCCCATCACTTAATTTGGGTTTGGTTTTTATTGTTTGCCTGGTATTTGATGCAGCTACCTTTGTGTGCGGTAAGCCTAAATATTTTTGATAAATTCGCAGATCAGACCTGCCGCGCCGACGAGTTCACCTGCGGAAATGGGCGGTGCATCCAGAAGCGGTGGAAGTGCGACCACGACGACGACTGTGGCGACGGATCGGACGAGCGGGAGTGTCCGGTGGTTCCCTGCGATTCCGTGGCGGAGCACACCTGCACTAATGGGGCCTGCATTGCCAAACGGTGGGTCTGCGACGGGGATCCGGACTGCTCCGATGGCTCCGATGAGCGGGTGAGTGAATAATGCCTGCCATAAATTTCCATTCCTTGGAAGCCAAGCAAAAAACCCCAAACTCCAAACCCCTTTCAGTCATTCCGTTTCGTTTTTTTTTGGGTGCTCTCGCCTAAGCCACATGAATTATGGCCAAGTGGGGCATAACTCAGCGCCCTGTCAGCTTTGGCAGCTTTTGTTGTCAACGCATGGCACGCATAAAATTGCATTTTTGCATGCTTAGGGGGTGTATAATTTCCCCGGTGTGCCACGTATTTCCCTGCATACTTCTCCCTACTGCGAAAAGTTTACCAAACTCAGGGCAGGAAACTTTGTCCGGTTCCTTGGGCTAACTTTCGTTTTATTTTGCACCATACTACCAAAAAATGTCTGCCATTTTACTATTTTTAAAGTTTAAGTTTACCTTGCGGACCTTATTTAAAAGTGTAATTCAAAAGACTTACCAGTGGAATTGTTAAAATGAAATAGTTTTATTAAAATAGCTATTTTTAGAAATGAAAAATTCTCCAAACTTTTTTATAAGAAACAATTTCTATAAAAAATATGTTCAATTAATTTATTCAATTGAGTTACGAGTCTTTCTGATTTTCTATCAAGAATCAAATAAGTCATTACATATTTTTGAATTACAAAATTGTGTAAATTATTTTATATGCTCCGCAAATGAGCTTGAAAAAAATGTTGTCTGAAAAATTTATGTTTAAATATAATTTATTTATAAATCTTTCTATTGTTACCCACCTGTTTCTTTAACAGTCCTGTGCGAATGTGACCAAGACGACCACGCCCTGCTTGCCGCACGAGTACCAGTGCAAGGACCGCATCACCTGCCTGCACCACAGCTGGCTCTGCGACGGTGACCGCGACTGTCCAGACGGCGACGACGAGCATACGGCCAACTGCAAGAACGTGACCTGCCGGGCGGACCAGTTTCAGTGCGGAGATCGCAGCTGCATTCCCGGTCATCTCACCTGCAACGGAGATAAGGACTGTGCCGATGGCAGCGACGAGCGGGACTGCGGACTGAGCCTCAGTTTGGGTGTCGCCCAAGGAGGCTGCAACACCACCAGTGAATTCGATTGCGGCGGAGGTCAGTGCATTCCGCTGTCGAAGGTCTGCGATAAGCGAAAGGACTGTCCGGATGGCGAAGACGAGCCAGCTGGAAAATGTGGCGTGAACGAGTGCGCATCGAAGAACGGAGGCTGCATGCATCAGTGCGTGGATCTGAAGGTGGGTCACCACTGCGAATGCCACGAGGGCTACAAGTTGTCCCCCGACAAGCGCAACTGCCAGGACGTCAACGAGTGCGACATCCCGGGCAAGTGCTCACAGATATGCGTGAACGAAATCGGAGGCTTTAAGTGCGAGTGTGAAGCGGGCTATATGAGGGATCCCAGAAATCACACGAGATGCAAGGCCAGCGAAGGACATGCCTCACTCCTCCTGGCCAGACGGCATGATATCCGGAAGATAGCCCTCGATCACATGGAAATGACCTCCATAGTGAACAGTACAAAGGCAGCCACTGCCCTGGACTTTGTCTTCCGCACGGGCATGATCTTCTGGAGCGATGTGACCACGCAGAGTATATATAAGGCGCCAATAGACGAGGGCAACGATAAGACAGTGGTGCTGACCAAGTCCTCGGTGACCTCGGATGGCCTGGCTGTGGACTGGATTTACAACCACGTCTACTACACGGACACGCACAAGTGCACCATCGAACTGACCAACTTCGAGGGCAGCATGGGCAAGGTCCTGGTGGAGGACTCTCTGGACATTCCGCGTTCCATCGCCCTGGATCCCATCGAGGGCTGGATGTACTGGTCCGACTGGGGCGCCTCTCCTCGCATCGAAAGGGCGGGCATGGATGGCTCACACCGCACCACCATTATCAGCTACGACGTCAAGTGGCCCAACGGCATCACCCTGGATCTGGTGCGAAAGCGCATCTACTGGGTGGACGGAAAGCTCAATGTCATCTCCTCCGCCAACTATGATGGGTCACAGAGGAGCCAGGTGCTCTACTCCGGCGAGTACCTGCGACATCCCTTCTCGATCACCACCTTCGAGGACTACGTCTACTGGACCGACTGGGACAAACAGGCCGTCTTCAAGGCCAACAAGTTCACCGGGGAAGATGTGGAGCCCGTCACAGCAGTGCATATGGTGAGTCCCATTGATGTGGAAATCAAAATCTTATTTATAATTTGTTTTACATTTTTATTAAAATTATTTAAAAATTAGTACCCCCGGGGGTGCCATAGAAGTCATTCAAGTTTTGCAACTATTTAAAACGGTGTGTAAAAGTATTTTTAATTATTTGCTTAATAGCTCCAACATCCCATGGTGGTGCATGTGTACCACCCGTACCGCCAACCCGACGGTGTTAACCATTGCCAGTCGGTCAATGGCCACTGCTCCCATCTCTGCCTGCCAGCTCCCAGGATTAACGAGAGGAGTCCCCGCATATCCTGCGCCTGTCCCACGGGTCTGAAACTGATGGCCGACGGCCTTATGTGCGTCGAGGATCGTAAGTACTCGATAACTTTTAGCACCTCTTTTGCCGTATGCTTTTAATTTAACCAGCATGGCTTTTAATTTTGATTTTATGCTTACTAATAAACCCCTAAAACCCCTAAAACCCCTAAAACGATTCCCCAATCTGGCATGACTTGCACCCGCATGTAGCTCTTTACGTCGCTCCCTTCACAAAATCCCCGCGAGCCCGCAAAACGAAACCGAGGCCGAAATTCCCACGCCGGCGATTGCCCACGGGTGTCCAAGTGGGACAAGCTAACATTCGGATAGGACTTAACGATGATCTCCAGCTGAGCACAAGGCTGCCCCTTTTGGCGACGACTTTTGGTATGCCTGACAACCCTGTTCTTTGTGGGTCCACCCTAAAAGGGAACCTTTCGTTGTGTTGTCCTCATTTGTCTGGGAAGTCGTTTTAGATATCTTACTTGTGTTGTCTTTCTTCTATGTAAAATCACTTAATGGTTTTTGTCCTTTTGTCCTTATTGTCTACCTTACTGTCTAATGGGTACCTTGAAAAAAAATTACAATTAAATTAAAGAATATTAATTAACTATTTATATTTTAATCTGAGTTCATTTATTTTTGGTTTTTTTCAGTGAAATGTTTTTGTTCCATCTGTAAAAGATCAAAATTGTCCCCAGAGTGTGGAAAATACATTTTGGTTTATGTATGTCATTGTCCTTGTGTTGTGCTGTCTTTATTTGTGTTCTTTATTTATTTATTATATTATTGTCCCAAATGCCAATATTGTATACCATTGCCCTTGTATATTTTTGCAGGCAAATCATTCAAACAAGTCTACAAATTCGTTTTTAATCCCAATCACACATTAACCCATCCCATCGATCAACCTCCGATTTTAAACCGACACAACGGAAACGAGGAAAACTTCATCAGCAAGACGTCAGCGGAAATTTTGATTAATAAGACCCGAGGGGAGCTTCGATAGTTATCCTTTCGGATGGGTTGACAGCCCGGTGACTTCCTCTCTCAATTTATAAGATTCGACGTCTTCCTCTGCGACTGTTTTTGCCCCAATTCACGCACTGTTTATAAACACTTTCGTGAAAGATTCAGATTTATTGCAAGCGTATTAATCAAACTGCTTGCCGGGATCTGCACTCAACCGGAGCCCTTTTGCGGCGCCCAGGCCACAACATTTGCTTTGTCATGGCCCACATTAATCATCATCAGGAGTTCGGGGTGGACAACCCCATCCCTGACAGTTTCATAAATGCCATCGCAGTTGAGCCACTTGCATCGCAGGCAACCGCAAGTAGGCAGGCGATGGCCCGACCCTGCAATTGAAACCTCAGCAGGGAGCACCACCATCCCATCACCGCCATCTGAAAGTCCACAATTTTCAGGCCGCAAAGTATGAGGTTAATATCGGGAGTTTCGTCTGTCGCCCCCCGAGGGTGTTTGCTTTAAAGTGCGGCTCAACTTAATGTTGATAACTTTTACTGTTTTGACTAGAAGATGTTCTCCCTCGACGGCTTACAAAATCCCATTAAATGCTCTGCGTTAACGATGTCATTAGGTTGCCATTGCCACTGCCATTGCCATTGACGTTGCCATTTCCCATCCAAATCTAAATCGGCGGCAGGCCGCTTCTTGCGCATAAAAGTATTCGCCATCAAAGGCGCGAGCGCGTTTAAGTGTTTATTTGCGCCTAAATGCGCACTTTGAGCGATTTGATTGAAAATTCCTTCGCATCTCATGAGAAGAGGCGGAGTAAGGGGGGCTTAAAGCCGCTGGGAGTTTGATGTTGATTCCCTATTCCGCTTTGCTCTTTTATTGCGATGATTTCCGTTTTCTTTTTATTCAGTTTCCCCTTTGTTTATCATTGCTGTAGGTGAAGTACCGTTTAAGTCCCACCATTGTGTGAAAAAAGCTTAGCCCTTAAGTCTTCCCCTTTATCCAAAAGTGGTGGGATGTCTAGAAATAAAACACTTTCCCCAATTTATGTTGTAAAAACAATTTTCTAAAATATGTTTCATAAAAATTTAAAGGTTATTATTTACTTTCTCCAGCTGTTGCATGTTTATAACTAAAACTTTTTTGTTATCCTTGTTATCCTATGAATTATGGTTGCGGTATATGCATATTCATGTTTACTTATTTCTTGCTTAATATAATAGAATCTATGTTTTTCGTTTTACTGTCCCCTATTTTTATTGAAAATTCGACTGATTTTAAATCAATTTCTGTCCACAGTTGCCGACCAGCGTCCAGTGAAGAACCAGACCCAAATCGAAAAGACCACAACGCCCAGCGAGCAGCCGGATTCCGGCTTCATTGCGCTGGTGGTTATAGCCAGTCTCAGTGGCTTTGCAGTCCTGCTTTCGGTGGTAAGCTGGGTCCACAGACACGGTGAAAATGGGAAAAATGGGAAAAACTAATCAATTTATCCGGACATTGACAGCTCCTGCTCATTGGCTATCGCTACTGCAGCAAGCGACGCATTAACTCGATGAACTTTGAGAATCCCATCTACCGCAAGACCACCACCACAGAGGATCATTTCAGTTTGCGTAAAAACCTGCCGGCACGGATCTACGACCACACCAGTGTCATGGATGAGGAGGTGGGTTTTCAATCAGATTTCCAATTTAACTATAATTTCTGAAGGAGAGTAAACGCCTTTTAAATTGGTTAAAGCCTCTACAAGTTTATGCCATTTTTTTTTTTTTAGTTTTGTTTTAAACTAGTATACATATCTTATACTATTTCTCTTAAAATCATGTTTTTATATAAAATCTAGTTTCTTAAATTTATACAAATGCTTACAATGTTTTTAAATACAATTTAACATCCATATATTATTATTTTTTCTTATTTTCAGTACTCACCCGTCATAGGCATATCCTCGTACTAGATTAATTCCATTGGAATCGTGTAAGAAGTGGATTGGAGGATTATTTTGCTTGGTCACTAGAAAAAGTTGATGACCAAAGCTGACTCGAGACCCGTGGCAGAAAAACACACGCCTGAAGACTGAGCAACTCTGTGTATTGTGTAAATTAATTATTTTAAAATTTTAAGGCACGGCAAGGACGGCGGGTCACCTTGAGGCGCATCCTCAAAGGATGCTGTACAAAATACTATGTCGCAGAGTTCTATCACAAAAAAACAAAAACAAAAACGAAAAAATTTAAAAGAAAACGAGAAGTTTAAGAAAAATCTAATTGCTAATTATAAATTACATAGTTCCAAACTGTATATAGCTGTAAGTGTGCATTATTTTTAATGAAGCAAATTAATATTACTATACGTAAACATGACGGAAAGATCATAATGCTTATGATCGACTATTAGTGCGAGTTGAGATATTATATTTCTGTTCTCGAGGAGCAGAATCGTTTTATTATTACCATTATTACTACATACGTATTAGCCTTTTGTTAACTGTATTTGTTAAGTGTACATACATATGTATATGTTTCCCCACTAAAAGAAATATGATGAATAATAAACTCAGATTATACTTATGTGTAGCATACTCCTATGAGACTTTTTTGTATCTTATTGCAAATTGTTTGGGTGCAGTTTGTAGGTCAGTCCTTCTGTAAAAAAATACATTTTTTTGATGGAGGTGCCAGAAACATAAGTCTCGTTTTCAATAAATTTGCCATAATTTAATAGCGGGTTTTCATGATTCAAATGTAAGTAAATAGTTTTAGCAACGCAAGCAGTTTTAAATCAAAATGTGGATCTGTTAATATTCCGCAGAATAAATTTTAGAACGAATCAAACATTGGAAGATGCAGAGCAAGTATTGGTATTTTTCGAAAAATTTCGATTCGATTTTAAATTAATTTTTCTATTCTGCACTATTTTATGGTATGATGCTGAATGTTGAGTTAACAAGCAATTAATCAACTGTAGGCACAAATATATTCAAATTTCAAGTCACATTATTGTTTTCAACCGGAGCCTTGACCCATGCCAACAATCAATTTACACCTATAATTTCAGAAATTGCCTAGCTCGGTAATTGAGCATAGAACGAAAAATAGAAGACCACACATCCGCAACAGATTGTTACACGACCTAAGAGAGCAGCCTAAGAGCGAACCACCTGCTAGCAACGATTTCAATGTCATAAGTCGGTTACTCTTTGGCGTTTTAATCTCTTAATTTTGGGGACATTACTTTTTGTCGATCGCTCTTTCGAAGGCCCCACTGGTGACGTCGCAGCATTTAGGCTCTCTCTCTCTCTCTCTCTCTGTCTCGTTTTCAACAGGTGAGATCGGTTAAGTTCGGCTTGTACGCGTGGCGATCTTCGGTTTGTCGCCCGAATGACACACGAGCTGTGCCGAAGTCGACGCACGAACGGTGCCATTGGTCCGCACTTCAAATATGTGATATATTCCACCGGCAGTCTAAAATCATCGTGCGAGCCGTTGGGTCGACGCTATATCGCAATTCGCGTATCCGCTCCACGCTTTTGAAAATAACTTCACCGTTAGACCGAAAAAATTCGGAGCGCGAAAAAAATTTTGGAAAGCAAAAGTTTAAAGCAAATAAAAAAAGTTCAAGCCGGGGCTTTAGGCCAGCTCATCGCATTTGTCGAGCGAAAAAAGCGTTAATTGAAAAATAATGTATGCGTCTACATATTTTAGCCAAACGTTACGTCAGTATGTCATGTGAAAAAACAGCATAAAATTTGCGTGGAACATGTGTTTTGCTATTCAAAAAATAAATAAAGGAATTGGAAAAGGGAATGGTGTCAATGGGTAGCGGCTGCGCATGACTTACCAGGCTTACCTGGCTTATCACACGTTACAGGGCTGATAACCCATGTATTCAAATAAAAAAGTAAAAAGAGATAGTCGTATAAAAAACGACAGAGACAGCAAGTGGCCTAACCCTCGTTTTAACAAAAGTCGTCGCCCTTAGTTTGCACTTTTCTGTGTGTATTTCGTGTTTCCATTGCTCTTATGCTGTTTTTTCGCAACATCGTATGATGTTTCTTTTTTCACTCGTGGCTTTTTCAGCATGTTTATCGTGTCTTTTGCCTCGCACTCTCTTCCCGATACATTCGATTCATTCTCTCACTTTCGTGAAATTTTTTGGCAAACGTTGCGTGTGTTTTGCTTGGACTTATTATTTAATAAGATAGCCGTATATAAATAAGTTGGCAAGTCGAATTAGTGTGAAAAGCGTGTGTGACCTGACCCACTGAGCCTAAAGTGCACTTTTACCGTATATTCTAGCAGCTGCGGAAGATGGCAACAGCTTGCCTGCCAGAATTCACGGAACGCTTTCAAACCCCACCAGCGGAGTCACGAACAATTGAAAGTGTTGGCAGCAGTTGTAAAGAACCATCCAAAACAAGTGGGTTCTTCTATAGCGCCAGCACCAATTACCACAGTAAAGTGCAGCAGCTGATCAGCTTCAGCTTCACCTCCTCATTCCACCTGCTTTTCATCACCTGTATCCTGAGCATTAGCAAGTTCTGCAATGCGGCAGCGGTCAATGCCGCCCAGGTTACCGCCGCCACGCCCACTGCCAGCGAGATAATGCACAATCTGAGCGGATCGGCGCTGCTGGAGCGCCTGAAAGCCAGCACTTTAGGACCGCCCCTGGATCGCTTAAAACACATCGCTCCTGCGGCAGCGAATAGTTTAAGCCCGGGAATCGGATCGGGAATGGGACTCGGAATTGGAATGGGCAACTTTGGCAACTCCATCAACTCGGTGCTCAACGGAAACCCTTTCAAGTTCTTGAACGTGTCGGGAAAGATCGGCACCCCACTGGATATCTGTAAGTTAACCACTTTGATGTATTCATAGCCATAAAAGCGATAAAATTCTAGAGTATTGTTTACCAGACGAAAAATTTACAGCGAAAATAAACTTAAACTAAAACAAAACTCAAGTGATCACAAACTATGACATAATTTGTTTATATGATTCATTAAAATTCAATGATTTGATGTTGGTAATTGAGGAATTTTCTATATGTACTTCATTTTGTGATTCGTCTAGAAGTCAATTTTACGATCAAAACCATACCATAACGTAGAATTTTTAATGAATCAGAAGACAAACAATTTTTTCTGAAATATAAAAACATATTGAAAATACATCAAGCGAAAGAATTCTTCTTGTTTCTATTTAAATATCATAAATAATTCAATGCAATAAATTGAAATAGAGCGTATGTGGCTTACACTGTAGGCTTTATGACCATCAGAAAATGAGTCATTTCTAAAACGATAAGCCCATTAATCCATGTGAACCGGATTTTCTATTAGTAACAACTGCAGTAAAACTTTATAAAAAATTAAAATATAAATTAATAACAAGCAAGAAAAAAAGTCACAAATCACTGACCTAAACTAATTTTACATCTTTTCACGATTAATCTCAAATAGTGACAAATTAGTTTCCCATCTCCGCTTGTCTTTATCAGATCGTCTTTGATTTCTTTAAGTGTAAGAGGCGGCGGTGTTTATTTTCGTTGCCGCCGCATCTCGTATTTCTGGCGATCATGCCACCAGCCACGGCTACATATGTATATATACCCCGATTTCCAGCCAGACTCCGATTTTAGCTAAGCTCCGACTTACAGTTGGCTCGGCTCAAGTTTTATTTATGTGAATTTTGTTGCCACCCGAAAGCCAAAGCGTCTGGCAATGCCAGTAAACTCCATTTCCACTTCCATGTCTCAACATTCCACAACGTCATACGATTCTCAGTCCAGAGCACTACCTCTTTTCCCCCTGCTTCCAACTCCTTACCCCTCTTTTCTGACGGCACAAACCTTTTACTTTCCTCTGCACTCGCCTCTGCTTACACTATAGAAAATTTCAAATCAAACACATTTTTTTTTTTAAACGTAAGCATAAAATTAAGTTTCAAAATGTATGTGCACATAATGAATACTAAACATTTATCTGGCGGTCGACTGTTCCAAACTCTAAAAAAATCTTGTTGGAAAATTTTTGAATAAAAAACCTTACAATATAACATTCAAAGTTTTAACTACTATTACTTAAAGATCTACTTAAAGATCTTAAATCATAAAGAATACAAATGGGTTTTATTCCAGTTCTACGGTACATTTTTTTAATATATATACATATTTATTTTTTCTTTAAGTGTAAACTCCAATGCTTGTTCTTTCCTCTTTGTAATTATTCCGTTTTATGCTTATTTTTTCTACCGGCCGGCTTCGCTCCACGGAGCGCCACTTGAAGACTTTAACTTCGGCGGCTCTTGTGAAACCGAGAGAAACTGGGAAGACGGAGAGAGAAGAGTAGAAATTCGGAGTAGCAGACAGGGAAAAAGAGAACAAAAAGAGCAACAAGTGTCCAAATCTTGGAGTTTCTTGCCTTTGCACATTGGCCAGAGTAACTTTCGAAATGACTCCAGCACGTGGCAGATAAAAACTAACAATAACAACTGGAAACGCCTCGCTTTATTTATAAACATTAGCTTTAAAGCATTAAAGCTAGCCCGTCATAAAGTTTTAAATAAAACCTAACATTAACAACTCTCAATGCCTTAGCTTTTCTAACTAATTTCTAAAAGCTACATCAATGTCCAAGCTCTTTGAATTCATTTCTAAATTAATTTCCAATTTTCGTAAAGTAGATTAAAAGCTTTTTTAAAGTGTCTTGAAAAAGTTGGTGGTGTAATTTTTGTATGTTTGGATACTACTATCATTTTGGACGCTGCTGTGTGGACTTAAACAATGATAGGCAACAAGCAAGTATTTTGAATAAAAAACTACGTAAATCATATACATATGTAAAGCGAAAATTGAGGAATAATAAGTAATTGGCGCAAACTTAAAGTACAGTATGGAAATCATAATTCAGTAGACCTCTTAAAATTTGCAAGGCTTAGTTAAGCAGTAAAAGTATATTGAAATAAAACCAAAAGTTTAAGTAAGACAGCCTTTGCATTTTATAAAATCAACAACAACAATAATCAGTATATTGATTAATGAATGAGGAAGAGTGTAGCATAGAGTTTATCGAAGGGAAATTACAAATCGATAGACTCCAATCAAGTTTGTTTTGAAGATTTAATGAAACCTTCAACTTAGCAAAAAACGTTTAAGTTGACGCCAACGAATGTCAAAGATAAAAACAAAATGAATAACGCTGGGTTATGATAATGACCATAGCTTAAAGGTTAAACGCAGATGATTGAAAGTGGGACTAACGAGATAAACACCGTTGCAACACAAGATAGCTTGCTATCTATGTCAAATATATTTGCGCCATTATAAATAATCACAATCAAAAGATAATCAATCGCTTCGAGTAAATGCATTTTCACTGTAGTTCTGGCACATTCAATAAAAGCCAAATCTCAGGTGTCAAATAAATCGTTAGACAGGTTATAATAGGGGATATAGGTCACGGCGAACCCAGATGACAGTCATTTCCGTCCAACTAAACTTGCAGCCCGTAAAATCGAAATCAGTGCAAATTACTTGGATGGCGGCAAGCGGAGGGACCAAATTGACAACTCTCATTCGACATCAAGTTCTGGGCACGTCCTTGACAGCTTTAATGACTCAGACTGCGACAACGTAAGGTGCCCAGGCTTCGACTTCCTGGCAGTGCTGATTTATTTCAAAATCGAATTTAAACAAGTTTGCTCATCGCCAGCAAAAAACTGTCGGCCAGCCCCAACATGGCTGGGACTTTTATAATTAACTTGGCTAATTATGCCTGGAATTTGCACGTGCTCTGGATCCGACAGTCCCTGAAACAAAACTTGGTCCCTGGAAGTTCCTTGCGACTGTTGCATTACAGCCCGACCGCCTTAATTACAAAAGCATTTGCTATTATGTATAATTATGGAGCTAAAAAAAACGATTTTATTTTGTTTTTTTTTTAGTCGAAAGCTGGTTTTCAGTACTAATGGAAGCCCAATAAGTGCAATGCAATTGTTCGTGCCCGAGTGACAAATTTCATAAGCGATGGATGCAAAACACAATCAAACTGTGTTAACTGTATCTCATGGTATAATGAGAAGTGGCAACGAGGTGTGATGGTCAAACCTTTGTTAACCTTCGATTCCCAGCTAGTTCACACACAGCCCAGTGAGTTTCTCTTTTCTAATTAGTTTTCTATTTTGGGTTTCAATTAAAATATAACGCATTCGCAGCGTTGGCGAGCCATATTCGTTTACATGGCAAAAAGGTGGCGTGATGTGGTGGCTAGCACATTTGCTGTCAAAAAATTCCCACAAAATATCATTATAGAGAGTACGATATGCACTCATTAGAAATTCCGTAGAGGAAGCCTAATAATCGTATGGCGCTATATCTCACAACAAAAACCTGATGACGTTGGCGAAATTCCGAACGACTGTAAGGAACATCATTCATTATTAGCCGATAGTACTGAGTCATCTTAGCGCCATTTTCGCCGCCCATACAACTTTGGGCAACAGATGTATGAGTAATTGTTATTGTTGTTAATAATGTTGTTTGCTGCTTTGGTCGGACTATGACGTTAGCGATCAGGCCACCTTTTTCCCATTAAACAGAAACTGAAACTGCAACAATAACAATAACAAGAGGCTCTTACTCAAGCATACCAAATGAATTCACATCTCTTGCCAACATTTAAGAGCAGCCTTAATAGTTTCTCTTACGTTTTTATCTTCCAAAAGCCAAAGTGCTTGGAATTTTTGGGACTCAGAGTTGACTCAGAGATCCACGCCAACGAGTGTTACCTGTACGGTCTGATATCCAAAGCGCAATGTTCACATGGTTATACAATTATTTGTTGATTATTCTTTATCATCGTGGCCACTTTTATCAACCCAAGTGTTATCTTCACAGCAGTGGAAAAATCACACGAAATTATAATAATTCTAAGATAATGCTTGATAGCGTGCTTTCGATAAAAAAACAAAAAAAGGGCAACTAATCTAAAAACATTCACAATTTAAATTGTTTTTTACTGAGTAACAAAACACTATTATTGTATCAAAACTTAATTTCTTTCCAAGTCAAATGTGTCTATGCTACTCATGCTTAACTGCAAAATTTAAAATTAAAACTAACTACGTAGCTAAGACTTATTTTAGACACTTGTAAGATAAGAAACTTTTTTAATCTGCCGTTTACTTCAGAAATCTCCTTATGACTAAGTTCAAATTTATTCCTTCTATAAAAACTACAATAACCATTGAAAACTTTACGTGGTTTTAAAACGGCCTGAAAAATCGTAGTACTCGTGAAAAGTGTTTGCTAGTTTTACTGTTTTCACACTCAGAAGGTTATCTGTCTTATCTGAAGTGACTAAGCAGGCGCTTCTAGCAATTAAGATAATAAATTAATCTATACAAAATAATTGTGTGTAAATAGGGAAAAAAAATTTATACGATCCTTTTTTGGTTAGCGGTCATATTAAGTTTGCGTAACTTTTGAAATTCATATAATGTAATTACTGTAATTAAAAAAACAACTAGCCGAACTGTTTAAATATTTGAAAAAATTATTTAAGTTTAAATGTCACTTTTAACCATAAAAATAGTTAAAACTAAACTTTGTAACGTTGTTAAATAAAACTTAACAGTCATGTAAGTTTGCAAACAAATTCTAAAAATGTAGCTTTCACAAGAATACTTAAAATTACAGATAATAAAATGTAATACATTTTGCTAAAACCTAATTAGCAAATTGAACCTTATAACTGACTTCTTTGTAGCGGTATTAAAGGTTAATAACATGTTAATGTTAATTATAAGCAAAGTACATCAAATATTACAAAATTTAAATGGGCAGTGTAAAGTCAAAGTTTTGTTTACAGAAGTTGAATGGCCATCCACTTTACTAGGTAATAAATCTAACAGCAATTGAAACCCATATATTAGGTAACCTATACCTGCACATCCATAAATAGCTTCACCCAGTCTGTAAATAGCTAGCAAAATAATGATTAAATTTGGAAAACACATGCGTAAAGCCTTCTTATCACCACGAACGCCTGTTCAGGTGCAAAGTTCCCGCTATCATATTTCGGTGGTTTTCTATTTTATCTAAATTAACAGAAAATATTTTGCTTAATTTGCGTAATTCTCCATTGTTTTTGCGGTGTAGTTGACCGTAGGCGAATCAGTGATTAATCACTGACTATTAATAGGATTGCAGGCATAATCAAATCAGGGGAGGTTGGACTCCGAGCATCGACAACCTTTCGGGCCATTAATAAAGCATTTATATTGATTTGAACTCTGATTGACTTTTGCGCCGATTTCTGATTATTATTTCGCCCTCTTGGCTAACCAAGACAGCCCTCCTGTCATGCCCTTTGCTGTCATTGAATTAATGGTGCGAAATTTTCATGTGAAATACTCTTGACCAGCATTTTCTTTCCTGATTGACTCCTGGGCGAGAGCGAGGAATAAAGTAAAATAAAACTGTTCAATGAACTTCGCATTAAGCATTTAATTGGCCAGTTGCCGGCCGTTGCTTCTGTTCTGGTCGGACATTTGCGATTCTGTCAATCAAATTGGCGGCTATTGCCGACGGAGGCAGCTGTGGTTTTTTTTTGTGGAAAACAGCACAAATTATTGCCCCACTGATTTAATTTGTTTTAAATAGCTGCCTGGGATGACTGGGTGAATTCTTGTGGAAATAAATGCCTAGAGTGGAAAATGATAAGGGATATTTAAAAAAAACATAAAATTGAACTTCAAAGAAGACAATTTTATGATGGGTACAAAGTTTACAGAAGAAATTAATGTAAATATAAAATTTTTTTACTCTTGCTTGAAGTTAGTTTTAAACAGTGGTTTGGTTTGCTTTCTTTGGTTTGCTTTGTCCTTTAAAATCTTATTTACGCGTTATTTTAAAATACCACCAGAAAATAACAAATTCTGTTTGCAGCTTGATTCGTTAAGAACATCGCTATAAATATTAAAAGCTTTCTAAAAGTACTTTGTTAGTTACCTTTGAGAATTAAAATAAACATACTTAACAGATGAAAACGATAACTGAGAACGAAGCAAAGAAAATAATTGGCGTGTGTCCATTAACCAATTGGCAGCCATAAAACATATTTCAGAAAATGCAAACAATTGGAATGCAAAATCGAGGATAAATGAATTGCTTTCGGAATGTTTGGCTGTATGACATACACGTGCGTCGACTAATCTAAGTCCAGGCATATGGATCGGATGGGGCAGTTTCTTTTAATATTTATTTCAATTAAGCTACTAAACGACTCACTTAAAATGCAAATTGCATTGTACATTTACATGCAGATTTGTCTACAAAAGCAATTGCAATTTCTGAGCACCAAACAAGTGCACCAACACTCATCCAAACACACACATACACACGCACGACAGGAGCAAAAAAAACTCTTTTCATACGTTCAAAATGTGTGCGCACATTTTTAATAATTCACGTTGACTAATAAAAAATTTGCAGCTCACACAAAATGAAAAGCAGCAAAAGGCGGTGGAAAAGAAGCGTTGAACATATTTTTGCGAATAATAGATACACATGCATGCATAATGAAAATGCACGTGCTGTGGCAGGGAATATAAAAGAAGCCGAAATACAATCAGCGAAAAAATTTTAAACGGTGCCTGGTGGAATTTGATGCCTTGGAAGTCTTGATTTCCCATGGTATTGAACAACTAAAACACACAATTGTCAAATGCGAGTCACTCGGCCTTCCTGTGATATTGTTTCTTCCTTCTAAACGTGTATGCGTGCTGACAGATCTGATTTTGTAATTTAATGCGTATGTGTGCGTACGAAGGGGTGGACCAACCACACTTTATAGAGGCAACCCTAACAGTTCCATTATTTTTTGACATTTTCACCTCTTAAAATATATGAGTACTTGAGATATGTCTTCCGAAAAATTCCATTTAGAATTTTCTGGATTAGTGATCTTTATTAAAATGTTTACAAAAATAACTTATACGAAGTGTTAGCCAAGTCAACCATTTTTCGTTGCTAGCTGTAGAGATTGTGTGCCTGCAATCTATGGAAAAATAACAATTTTGGTGATGTATAAGTTATTTTCATCAATAAATATAACACAAATAGGTTGATTTAGAATCTATTTGGTGAATTCAGAATTTGCAAAACGTCCGATGATACAAATTAATATTTAATTATGAATATGTAATGCAGATTGAAGAAATTCTAAATTCATTGTCTTCAGCTCAGGTCCACTCTAAGGAGTGTTGCTGTGTTTCTAGATGAGCTCGTGCGTGAATGTGACGGTGCCTAAGCAATTGTCAATTTGTGTTAAACGCGCGCAATTAAACGGTAAATGGCACACGGATAGACCGCCTCAAACAAAGACACTTTGGCATAATGGCGGCACATTAACCGAAAGTCAGTCGGCTTTAGCATATATGCTAATCGGGCGACAAGGCACAGAAAATGAAAGATAGATTAGGGCGGCCGAGTGAATTGTCAATTGGCCCGTAAAACGATTGATGAAGCAATCCCAATCCCAATCCCATCCGACACTTTCCAACTAGCTGCCATCAAATTCTCGCTTATTAATTCCCCAAAACTTTCTGCCTTTCATTTGGGGTCCGTTTTGCGGTTCACCACGGAAACATAGACCGCAGCAAACACCCACATACCCATTTATACATATACACAGACATGTGTAAGCCTCGCCCTTTCGGCTGGATTTCATTATTTACAAGTTTTTGTTTATTGTCAAGTCTCGGCTTTCATTAAAAAGGGTTTTAAGGCTTGTCAACAAACGCCTTCCGTCTTTATTCCACTCCTGTGACCACCGCAATCTTCCTTCTTCAGTGTGTGCTTAACGAGCCAAAGTTTTCAACTTAAATTTTAGTTATGAATTTTATTATGCCCTCCCGTTGGGACTACTAGACCCCCAACTTCGGTGGTCGTCGTCTCCCGTTTCCGTTTAATTATAGTCTGCGGCTAACCCGAGGATTTCAACTTAATTAATTAATATGCATTTGATTTTGCAGCGCTCGGTCTGACCAACTACTGCGATGAAAAGCAGTTCCAGTGCTCCTCCGGTGATTGTATCCCCATACGGTTCGTGTGCGATGGCGCCTCCGATTGTCCAGACCACAGCGACGAGCGGCTGGAGGAGTGCAAGTTCACAGGTGAGTGCACAGCTAGAAAAGTGTCATAAGTGTCATCGTTTTTTGTCTATGAATCAAAGTTCGTTGGATTTCGTTTAATGTATATTTAAGCTGAGGCACAGACTCGTCCGCAATAATGATTTATTTTTGCTCAGCATTGCAGGAGTCAATTTTACTCACATAGTTTTTGTTATTTATATGTCTCATGGATATTTTTTAATTAATACGCGTGTTTTAATAGTTAAAAAGTTCTTTCCTTTAGATTTATAATTTTATCGCTAAATAGCCTATGATTAAACTTAAAAGTAAAGCCATTAGTTTTTTATTCAAATTTTTTTATTTTTTTGAAGTTTGTCTTTTGAGTTTTTGATGAGTTTAATTATTCCCAATTTAAAAACTGTAAAATGATGTATAATATAATAATTCCCAGCTAAATATTTCATCTAAAATTTCTAAGAATGCTCTGCCCATGCCACTTGTGACTTTTCTTTTCCATTCCCATTTCTTCCAAGTTTTCTCTTTCCGGCCTTGATTAGACCTTTACTTCAGCTGCTGTCTTAGTCAAATACACTCGAAAGATTGCACAAAATCTCACACTTGAAGGAAATCAACAGCCACAGCCGCAAAATGTATGTCCATCTGTACTTTTTGTTTGCTGTATCTTTTGCAGAAGCCTTTAAAGAAAGTTTTGCCAATTTTTGTAGCTCCTAGCTGGTGTTGTTTTTCATTTATTTTCTTATGTGTGTGGCCATGACCAAGAGAAGGACTTCTACAAAGTCAAGCGCTGGATACGGCATGGGGATTGGTATTGGAATAAGAATTTACGGCGGAGGCAGGACCAGAAGCCCAGCTGTTGCCTGCGAACTACGTGCGCTCTTGCTCTAATCTGTTGTCAGTCATTTGTAGTTTTTCAATTTGGAAATGTCACAGAACTAACCATTTACTTCGCTCTGCGTGTGCTGTTTGCCTTTGTATTGGTTTTTTGGTGTTTCTAGTGTTTTTGGTGTTTTTGTTATTTGTTTGGCTTCGCTGTTGAGTAAGTAACAACTGGCTGTTTATTTAGTGTCATGTAGGCAGGACTCGGAATTCCCCAAATCCCATGACTCCTCGAATTTATTTTCATTTAATTTTTACACTCCGTATGAGTGTGTGTGTGTGGGCTTTTTATTAGCCTCTGCATTTAATTTAAGTTTGGTTAACAGACCAGTCTGTTTCGATCTCCGGTTCGCTGGTTTCGTTTGGCCCAGGGCTCTCAAAAAAATTCAACATTGCCTATTTTCAGGCAGCAGTGTTTAAAACACTGCCAGTCGTAAATATTGGGCAAGAGCGTGGTGCTTAGTTTTTAAGCACAAAACTCAGCTGAGCCGCTATTATATATATTGTATGGGGGTCTTAGGTTGAGCAACCCGCCTTGTAAATTACCAACAACCAAGCAAACCTAGTTCCAGTCGAGTTGAGTTTCATTTGAGTCTCATTAGGGGCACAGCAGTAAGTCAAGTGCAATCTTACTAAGACATTGCATCAGGCTTGGAAGATAAACTGGTTCGAAAATGCTCAGACTGAATGAATTAAATCACTCAAAGAACAAAAATTCTGGGGCTGATTACTCCAAGTAATTGAAAGAACAAATCGGGTTTGACATTTTATTATCAATGCATGTATTATACAAATACGTTGATAAGCTCAATTTCTCAACGCATTTGTCAAATGTTTTGCAACCTATTAGATTAATTTTTGAAATAAAGTTAATTAGAAAACGTATTGAATACAGTATGTTTTGTTTTATCGATAGCAATTTTATATAATTATTATTCAATTTTAAAAACTTTTTTGCTGTTTTATATTTTTCCATTCAAAATTTTGGCTTTATTACATGCTTTACAATTTGAATTGATAATTGTTAAGTTTACTATGCTCAAACAAAACTACGGACATACTTTTGTTGAAGTGAATTTATTTATAAAAACTGTAAACATAACAATGATGCAAAGTTCTTAAAACATCCTAAGTAATATAAAGTAATTTAAACGGAACTTATAAATCAATTTCATGTCAAGGAAACATAAATCAAATGTCGTGTCAGTCTGATTTAATTCCAAGTAACACTCGGGGTTTTCCGCTTGCACTGCGATCTATTAGGAATTTGTATTATGTTAGCATTTATTTGCGCCTTCAGATGTGATTTCATTTCTGAAATTAAATAATAATATTATTTTTATTTTTCGTACTAGTTTCGTACTTACATCGAACATAAGAAAAAATTTAATAAATAAGAATTATATTGTAAATAAATTTATTGACAGCTAGAAATTATAAAAAAAGGGAACTGGGGAAACCCATTCAGTCTGATTCTACTTAAATTAAAAGTTTACCAGGAGACCCCAGAAACAGTCTGGGCCTTTAGGTTTCAGGAATACAATATTGCAGTAGTGTTTATTATCAAAAAGTTTAAATTGCACATTTAAATCAAACTTAAACCAACTTGAAACTAAAAAAAACAAGTCACGAGTAGATACAGCCGGATACAAGCAAATAATTGAGGGACACTGAATATTAATAGAGTAGTCGAACCGTATCAGCAAAGTATATAGACCTCAAGAATATGTCGACGCCTTACAGCATTCGATTTTACATATAAGTAGTAACAAGGTCATTGGGTTTTTTGGGATTGCTTGTTTTGACAAATCACAATCTAATTGCGCACTAATTGAAGTACTCAGTTTGATGAAATCTAATCAAATCCTGAAGCCACTCACTCGGGTGAGATTCACGTTTGAGTGAGACCTTTGAGCGGAACTCTTATCTTTTGAGTGGAAGCTTCTGGCGCGGAGTCTGCGGAATAATGGGGGCCACCACATCCATCCAGATGAAACGAGAACCAAACACAAGTCAGTTTGCATCGAGCTCTGCAAAGAAACGGACGTGTATGCTTTCCAGCCAGGATAACTGAGATCTCAGGACTCAGAGGCGGCAAATAATAAACAGTTTCGTGCAGGACAAGTCGTGAGATAAATAAAGTGGAAGCAAAGTGAATAAATTCATCAAGCTCAAAGCGATTTGTTAATTATTGTTTAAAGAGTATACAAATATTTAAAAGATTAAAAAAAATATTTTAAATAAAACAAAATATTCGTTAACTTGAACAGCAGCTGTTGACCAGCAAAAATCAATGGCAATGCCAATTTGGGCCGACAAACGTTAGCGGACACACTGAAATCAGTTTGCTGGCGTCCCTTTGGCGGTAACATCAAAAGGCACCAGCGTTCAAAGCAACAGCAGCTTTTCCCCAAAACGGAAGCTTTTCCGCAGTGCCTCTGTGTGCGTGTTTTTCCTTTTACGATTTTCGTTTTTTTTTTTACGCTTCTGCGCGCCACTTTTTATTACATTTACATTTAGCCCACTTGCCCTCTCTTTTTTGGCGCATCTCTTAGCATCGCTCTTTACCAACTGGCATAATTCGGTTCTGATTTTGCCAAGACTTAGCCTTTGTTTTGCATTGGATTAGATGAACTTGACACCGAATGCAAGAGAAATACAAGAAACTTGCCTCTAGAGGAGTATTTTGAACTAAAATCCTTATGGCTTTCAGATAATCTTCACACATTCGCTATAAATCAATCCGTTTTAACTGTCACTTATATTAATCAATTTGCATTTAAAAATTACCAGCTGAAGGAGCGTTTGAGAGCGTCATAATTCCCGCCGACATGTCAAAGATCAAAATTCCAATTAAATGTAAACACTCAACTTGGCTTAACTTAACTCCCTTAAAAAAAAATTGTTCCATGCAAGGATTATATAAAGTTCTGATAAGCGACCGCATCAATAATTATTAAACAAAAATCAGACAAGCAGAAAAAGTGGCTTAATAAAGCGTTAAACGCGTGGGAAAAACGAAAATTGAACAAACAACGAGAACAATAAGTGAAAAATAATTAAAAATTATACAATAGAAAAGCATTTCGTTTTTAAAACTTTTTATTCAAATAATGTAAAGGTAGTAAGATTAAATATTTAACTTAAAATATTTAAAAGTTCAATGCCGTTTTTCATACAATTGAACTATGTAAAGAAGTAAATAAAATATTATATTAAATTCTCTGAATAAATATTTAAATTCTCAATAAATATTTATCAACTCAATAATAACCAAGTTAACAATTTAAACTGATTGCATAAAATAATAAATAAAGCAGGAAAAAAAAATCAATTTTGTCGCTTGAAAATAAAAACTTTACTGACTACGTTGCAGATGAAACCAATTAAAATGACATTTTTGCACGTATAAATTTTGTAAATTATTTGTGAGCGGAAAAGAGTTGCATACTTTTTGAGTTACTGCCAATGATGCAGGTTGTGCTGATATTTCGCTGAATATTACCGGCTGCCATTTTTGCTGGCCGACCACTTGACTGCCATTTAAAATAATTATGATTACACGCTCGCAACAGAGATCCCAGTGCCAACATTCGTGCGACAACAAACCCGAATAAACAGCAATTTAATTTAATAATTCAGCGGAGCACTTAGGCAAAAGAAAATTATCAAACAGTAAAGCCTCTGAAGAGTCGACATGGGACCAATACGTAGCTTCGTGGGCTGCTCCGTTCTGCTGCTAATCACCGGATTAATACCACAGCAGGCTTTCAGCTTATCCGAAATCGGTATGTTGGGGAAATCATTTATGTGCTGGGGATGATAATTCCCACAAATCAAATCAGCAACAAGATTAGATAAGAAGACGTTTAATCCGTACATTGCTTACTTTTAATCCTTTCTCTCCCATTTGTAAATAATTATATAACTTTTCAAAGCGCAGTAGTTTAAACGCTCACAGAGCTGAGAGATTTTGAATAATATAGTTCTTATTATTTTATGACTTATTAGTTTATGACACATTAGGTTATATCATAACAGTACATACACTTTAATACATAACATTCTGATAAGCTGGAATAATAGTATCTATTTTAGAATATTATCATTCCGGATTTGTTTATGGAGTTAATGTTGGCCACTTAATAATTTTATTTTCCCAATAATCTTGAAAAAACGTCCAATCACGAATGCCAGGTCAAAGTTTTTCGATAACGCAGCCTCGGATCCATTAATCGCTTCAAGTGAATTTCAATTTACTGTTATTGTCATACTGCGTAATCGTTGTGTAGTTGTTATCTTTTATGCATGAGCTTGGCACAGGATGTGTGATACAATCGATACCAGTTTCTACGAAATGACAAAAAGTAATGTCTTAGAAGACAGTAAATAAATAAATATCCTAAAGGAAACTAAACTGAGGCTGGCCATTAACAACAGAACCGATCCAAGTGGCGTTGCTTGTACGCCACGTTGCTTATACGCCACGATGCTTATACGCCGCGTTACCCATACGCCGCGTAAACATCCAGAGACGAAGGACAAAAGCCAGCAAAGACGCTCCCAGACTTCTAAGCAGCTTTTACACCATTTGGTGAAATACATGTTGGTCATGGTATGCTAGTGTTCGATATCGGGGGCATAAATATTCATGCAGCACATTTGGAAAAAGCAGACAGCTGATAAGCCTGCCACCCACTCAGGAAAAAATCTAAAATAGAACGGTTCGAGGAAGAAACTGAAAGAGCTCTATATGCTTGCATGTGTATATGCTGGATTTTGTGCGCTGACTGCGGGCCTAAGATAACTTCAGACACACATCCTTGGAGTCCCTCTGCTCCCCAGTCTTTGTCCTTTCCCGAAAGCCATAAATTATGTATTCCGCACATTTTTAAGCGCAGCAATCAATCGAAATGGCTCGATCCGGAGTTGGCCAGGAATTCACAGAAATAGGAATTACTTTTCAAATAATTCACGGCGCGAGCCCTCCGCTTTCCATTCCGAGAATCAATTTGTTTGCCTCGCTTCGCGAAACAAGTTTATTTAACATATAAATTGGCAAACATTTAAATGGCGATTGCACGGCCATTTGTTGCACTGTACAATATTCAGCAACAGTTGCCAGACATATGAAACATAAAACTTTGCCTCATTAGTGGGACTCTCAGCCTCTGTGCTGCGAATGATTTATGATGCCCGGCATTGTCTCATGTACCCCAGGCCGAAAAACAAACCCTTAGCTGGCCCATTTACCAGCTCTTTTTTTATTGAAATACTTGAGGCGGAGTACAACTTCAATAAAGTGGAAAAAGGTGCCATAAACAACAAGCGGCGGGCCTTTTTTACGACACAACCCGCTGTGTGCGGAAGCAGATACTTCTCTAAACAAAGGCAGAAAATAAATAAATAAAAATAAAAAACGGGAGGAGGAAAACAATTGTAAACAGTGAAAAAAAGGAAAATCCCCTTAACTGTGGCACAAATTTTTCATTAATTTATTGAGACGAGACAGGAAGAAACAGGGCAGTAAGAGATGAGGGTCAGCAGGAGGTGGGTGAAAAGTGAATTTCACTTTCGCATTTTCCTTATTCCACTTGTTTTTTGGTTGCCTTTCGCCGTTTAAATGAATCGGACAATTCAATTTATGCTCTGCCAGACAGACAAACTTCATTAGGGCTTCTTCCTATTTCACATCCCTTGAATCAATAAAAATGTTTTGTTATATCTTTTTGTTTTCGGTTTTGTTTTGTGTGAAAGTTAAAATTGTATTTGTAAAATTTCTGTCAGTTCAAAATATACATTTCTTTTTTCCGCTATTTTTAAACTTATTTCTTAATTTGAAAAATATTTCTGACAACTTAAGCTGATTGTATCTTAACATTCATTTTACGAAATACATTTGCACAAAAGACGGTCAAGAGGATATTGGAGAACGGCAAATATCAGAAAACTTTTAATGCGCCAAATCGATGAATGACCGCGGAAACTTTTCCCCTATTTCCCTTGGACACTTCCAAAGTACAGGGCAACTTTCTGGCACTAAGCTTTTGGCCTGTAAATGAGCTTGGAGACCGTTGTCCTGGAAGAGAAGGAGGACCTGCATTGTTACCAAACTTTGTCGAGGTTAGTTCTCGGTGTCTGTATGGAAAGTTTTCGATGTATTTGCTTTGGCTTAAGTCGGCTGACTTTGTCACTTTTGTTGTCGCCCGTTGGGAACCTCAATTTGTGGTAGCCCCACGCCCTACAATCAAAGCGTTGCATTCGGCCTTAATAAATACATGTGAAAAGTCAGATAGACGACGGCTTTGCCGGCAGGTGTGCCATTTATTATCGTGCGAGGTGTCGTCAGATTTTCCACCCTCGCGGCAGCAAAAGCACTTTAAATGAATTGCATAATCTGCAGGGACCCGATTCCCACCCACCTGCAACAAAAGGGATTAAGAGCCTGTCTGGCAGGGACTCCCCACATTTCCGCCCAGTCGTAACACCCCGAAACCCATACCTCCTGCACCATTTTGTCGCGACGCGGCAGACTGTAAATAATGAAGTTTGCATCTGGGTGGCAAGTGGCAAAGCGGCAAAGCAGCTGCGAAATGTGCTCTTAGGCACAGGAACAAAAAGTTCATACATTTATTTAGATATATATACTCCAACAAACTGTTCGCCAAAGATCAACATCGAGTATAATATTTCTGGCCAAAAAACTGGTCATTTAGAACACACTAGTGACATAGAAATTCTATTTGTATTTATTTTGCACTTTTTCCATAATTTGCATAATAAATCCATAAATAAGGGACGAAAATTATTTTATCTATTATTTTCTGCATTTTTATATCAATTACGATTCCTTGTATTTATTTTGTTTTATATGCTTTTCATTTTCTTTATGTGTACCAGCAAAAAACCAATTGCTTGTGAGAAATATCTGCTTGTGCGTTAACTTAGGATAATGTTCCTAATATTGAGTGTAATTTTCTGGTGATGACAGATTATTTATGGCTGAATAAGTAAGTTATTAAATATACTAAAATTAACTTTAGTCAATTCCGTAATATGATGGCAAATGTTATCTTCTACATCCTTTAATTTTCGCTTAGGCTTTTGTTCATTAAGCGCTTTCTAAATCAAACCGAAAACAGACCAGATTCTGGCTAACTAATCCCCCGTCTCAGCCCTTTTTAATGTCCTTTTTTGGGCGCTAAGTGCCGCTGTCTAGGTACAAACGCCCCAGAACGTTTTCGCTATTCGGGCTCGCCGTTTCCATTTTCTATTTCCCGGTTTCCCGGGTCCCCAAACACAAAACGCAAAACGTGATGCGCATTTTTCGCACTGCGGCGGCTGTGGGTCTGAATCCCCTGGGTTTTGGCTTCCACTTTGGGTTTGCGCTTGGGTTTAGGTTTGGGTTTGGTGTTTGCCGGGGTATACAGTTTTGCGCCGGAGTTTGGAACTGCCACAAAAGTTGCGCTTAAGTTTATGGCAAACGACTCCCGGCCTGCTGGGGCAAAAACTTCACCCAGCGGAGCTGGCAAGGATCCCCTTAAAGCCATTTTGAGCCGAATGCAGATGTCATTCAATGGAATTCGTTCGAAATAAGCGCTTAATTGTCTGCACTCTTGTAGAAGCTTACAAAGGTGCAACGTTTAAAAAAAGCTTTGCGGAAAATACATTAAGTTTTTGGGAAATATTCAAAACGAGAGAATAATTTGGTAGCTGATATTTCTTTTATTAATAATATTTTGATAGTTAAGAAACATCCGAAATCATTATTTATTATCGTTATTAAGGAACATTTTTTACCACAGTGAATTTATATATAAACTTAAAGCAAATAGATATACCTTTATTTTAATGCTTTTCAATATTGTCACTTTGTGACATTTATTTAATATTTTCCTTGCAACACATCCTGCTATCAATTTTATAACAAACGAAAATCATTCATTTTAACTTTATCAAGCATTCCTTTTATCTTTTAATTGCATTGCCATCACTCAGTCAACCAAGCAAATTGTTTTCCTTCCAGGAAACCGGGCTAAAATATTTGTTAGTCCTTTGAAGACACTTTCTGGTCCATCTAACCGAGCTAAGTCATAAAATAAAATAAACATAAAGTGGCGGAAAAACTATTTCTACTAAAGCATAAAACAAAAGCTGAGCCACAAGCTGAGGCAAAAGCCACAGGAACATAAAAATCACATTTATTTTTGACACACTTAACCATTCGAGCATTAAAAGTTTAAAAGCCATGCTGTGCAGACATTTGCACATATATATTAATGGGAATATTCTATCACTGCCATTATATCCAGCAGTTATGTAAAATTGATTTCAAACATTTACACTTGCAGAATCGACTTGCAGCCAGGAGCAATTCCGCTGCAGCACCGGAAAATGCATTCCGCAAAGATGGGTGTGCGATCGGGAAAACGACTGCGCCGATGGAAGCGACGAAGCGCAGACTCGTTGCCGTAAGTGTCAGCCATTCATTTTTAATATAAGCAGTAGATATCGGCGACATGCGATTGGAAAAGTAATAGAAACGCCTAGTAATGCACTTATGACTCGATACATAATGGTAAACTCGCTGACGGAATTGAAACTTTTTACTGAGCATGGTTTGATTATTACTTTTCTTAATAAATAATTAAGACCTAGAGCTTGTCCAGAGTTTCGGGTCACAATTTAGACCAATAACTTCTTTAAAGTGCAATACTACCTAATTATCCGACTTGCTCGATTGGTATTAGTTCCATAATTTTTAGATACCCATAGACTTTAGAAAATCAAATGAACTAAGCCTTAATATAGCTCAAATTTGCATACATATTTAGGATTAAATTTAAGCTAAAATTGAGATTATTTTTTAAAAAATGTTAAACTACTTTTTTAACATATAAAATAATTTTAAAAAATTGCATTACTGCAAACATAGCTTAGAGCCGATGTCTACTTAAAAAAAGTATTTTCTAAAAGCTTTAATTTGTTAAATATGTAATATAATAATGTGTACAGGGGGTCGATGCTCCCCTGCGATGGTTATGTGTAAAAATGGTGAGCAATGTGTACACAAGGAATTTATCTGTGATGGCGACGAAGACTGTCGCGACGGGTCCGACGAATCAGAATGTGCCAGTAAGCGAAAATAATGAATTATTCTATCTCACATTTGCATACTAACTGGAGGATTTTCCCATCACTAAAACGAGCGGAGTCACTTAATCGAAATTTAAATGCGTGCCGCCTAGGACCCCAGAGGTCCCAAAAAGACTTTATGACTTGCCTGGGACTGACCAGGCCATAAATTAATGCCACTTCTTGCGGACAATATCGCGACGTGACCATCGGCGGAACTAATTTGTATCTATGCATTAGGCGCACTTTTCTTCTCGATGGGCGTAGTTTCCGCTTTTCACTTTATCCGTCTTATTTTCTTGCACAGTAACTTGCTTAGTGGGTTATTGTCTGTGACATAATTTCCCAACTATAAAGAAGAGTCCGTGTTGAAAGAGAGGCTGGAGAGTGGCGAAAATCTTTTTATGTTGGACGGTATTTCAGCGGTGTAATTGAAAAAATGATGCGATTTTTATGATGTTATCCTTGATGAAAATAAAAACCGGTAATCAAAAGGCGAACGTAGCGCCAAATTGAGCCTGTGGTTTATATGCTGGGACTCATGGCTCACTGGTCGGCTATCAAGCTACAGCTGTGTTCGAAATGATAAGGGCTTGCTGCTGAAACATAAAACGTTGTTTTTTTTTTAATTTTTAAATGAGTTAATACCAATTAAGTCACATGGAAGAAAAATTAAAAAAAAAATGTAATTTCAGAAATCTTATTTTGAAAAAAAAGGATACGCTTAAAACTTGTTTAAATTTAGGATCTTAATTTTTCGGAAATATCTCTTACATAATTCCATTACAAAAGTAGGTGCAAACGTACTGAATGACTCTTGAAAATATTTAATCATTTAAAAGCAATTTTTTTTTATACTTTTTTTTTAAATAAATTAGCAATCAACTATTGAACTGATTACAGTTGTTTGCTGTGTATGCGCAAAGCTACGTCTGCTCATGTGAATGGATATGTGTGCCATTTTATATATTTTATGTGCTTTAAAATTGTCGTCAAACCTTGTTGACATTTTGCGTTTACCCAGTGAATCCCAGTTACTCTTGTGAATCTTAATTTAACTTGGTTTTTGGGGTACAAACAGTGCAGCTCACTGCGCAGGATAACTCTCTTTAGTGCGGATATTTTCAGTTATGGTCCCCGCCCCGTTATTTAATTTTATTTAATGCTCCACTCGGACTCTTCATATCTTTGTTTACTATTAAGGGGAAACTTTGGCCAGCCGTTGAACAGTGGAACAAAGAGGGGTGAACTGAACAATAAACAAAGCGCAAACTGCCCCACAAAAGCATCAAGCTTCATTGGCTTTCAAGTGCCGGAGAGCTGAAGGCAGGCTGCACTCGACTTGGACATTTCTTGTACAATGTACATGGTCTGAAAAGCATTTTAAATAAAATTAAAATCAAATTGCAAGTATATGGGGCTGGGCGTCAGATAACAAGAAAATGCTATTGAATACAATGCGAGGATGTGTGCGTATGGAAAGAAGTGCAAGAGAGCAGGACCCTCGGTGGTCCATTGACTGTGACCCCACGACAGCAAATTGATTCTGCCAGGACTCACAAAAGCCAAAGCCGAGAAGGAAGCTGAGTCTCCATGGACGTACGAGGATGAAACTGCCATTCAGCCAAGTAGTTACCTTCGAATGAATAAAAACGAAAAGTTTTATATGTACATAAAAGCCCCCTGGTGAATGTTTTCTTCGCCACCGATGGAAAATTTAATGAAGCCATAAATTATGGTTGGCAAAATGATATTGGATAATTGAAAATATATCAGGTGCATGGGAGAACGAAATAATCGAAAAGAGTTTTCAAGTGACCATGAATGATGTTAAATGCCATTAAATGAGAGGACGAGATATCAATTTCAAATGTATTTAACTAAAATGTTTACTGCATATTTCTATTTATTTTTATAAAGTAATTAAAAATCTTATGTTAAAATTCAGCTTGTGTTAGTAATAAAAAGAGTTATATACTTCAAGAAATGGTTAAGATATAAAAATTAAATAATTAAATATGGGCAACTTATAAGACATCTAAAACTTAAGGCGATTTTGTAAATTTTTTCGCAGGCATTCTGGCAGTTTCAGTAAATATTCAGCAAGCGAACGACGAATAAATTCAGTAAGCTGGTCACAATAAATTCCAATTAAAGCCATATCACGCATACGACGCGTTGTACATGCTAAGCAACCGCCAAAAGTGGCAAAGGCCAAGAAGAAAATAATAATAAATTAATTTATTTGCAACGATGTCAGAAATTTCCGCCGTACGCCATGCCCGTGTAAGCGGTAAACAAATAGACAGGACGAAGGACGTAAAGGAAAGGAAAGGGAAAGGAAGGAGAGTAAAGAGAGGAAGGAAAGAAGGAGAGGAAGAGGTAGACAAAACGCTAAAAAGCATATTCAAATATTTGGCACATCCATAAGATTTTATTGCTAACACGCACACACAGTCTCAGCTGGGATGTAGGTACATAATCATATCAGCGAAAATCACACACACCCAAACAACACCGTGAAACAAAGGACAATGAAAGAGAGAAAGAAAGTGAAAGAAAGCTCGAAAACGAGTCACGAAGAACTGGCATACTAATACGCATTAAGGGTTAAACACAAGCGTTTTGCTGTTCCTGTGTGTGAGTGTGTGCGTGTCTGTGGGGGTGTTGTCAGCTTTGTTTAATGTCCGCTCCTTTGGCAAGGATATCTTCAATGGATGTATGTGACTGTGACTGTGACTGTGACTGTGAATGTGAATGTGTGTGCGTGGCGGGTGTGGGCGATAATTGCTTTAATGCATACGCATGTGTGCGTTTTAACTTTATGGAGTGTTGGCTGATAATGTCTTAATTACTGCCTAGATAAAATGCCAACTGTTTAGCCCCCGAATGGTTGTGCCTGTGTGTTGGCATGACAACTATGTTTACTACTCGGAGAACGGTTGCCATTGCTACCCCGCCCTCATAAGGCAGCTGCTTATAAACTTAATTACAGGACAGTGCTCGGTTGCATACTTTAAGTCGCATTTCCTTTCCCAGCGATATAAAATCCCATTAGCCAGGCAGTTACAAGATTTTTTTGGCCCTTTATGGAGTCTTAAATTTTGTCAAATGGAAAAGAACTATGAGAACAACTCAAATAGTTTTTCCAATTTTTTATATTTATAGGTAAAATATTGTTTAATTTAAGAAATTACAAACAAATATATTTTTTAATACTTGCATTGATTATTGAATTGGTTTTAGAATTCAGTTTTCTGGATTTCCCCATTTATTTCATAACATTTGTACTCCAATCGAAAAATATCTTGATCTGTTCTTTTTTAGGAAGCCAAACTTGTTCGCCCGAGCAGTTTTCCTGCAAATCAGGCGAGGGCGAGTGCATTCCCTTGGCCTGGATGTGCGATCAGAACAAAGATTGCCGCGATGGAAGCGATGAGGCCCAGTGCAGTAAGCCAAAATCGAATATTCCTTAGACTTTTCTCTGTTTTTTGCTTGGTGTTGGCTGCTTTAATATACGCAATTATCTTAGATTTTCACTGCCTTTGCTTGGTGTTGGTTGCTATTTATTTCTAGATGCTGTACCGAACTATTCCTGCACTTGACTGTGCCATGCACACATTTCTCGAAGAATTGTGTAATGCCATGTTAAAACTCGTATGCAATAAAGCACAAATATTTACGCATACACACACACAGAAGAGCACACTTTAGTTTGCTGTGTTTGCGCTGTTTCTTTGTTGTCACTTTCACATATTTTCTTTTCCTATATGCTTTGTTTGTATGTTGGCAATTTTATTATGGTGTTGGCTTTTCCCAGGCACATTTTCCCCGTCTTTTGTGCTCTAAGCATTTCCTTTTTCCATGCACTTACTAATGAAATTCACAAAATCCTCCACAAAATCCCTTCGAAGAATCAAGTTAATCATTGATATGAACTTTGCGCAGATAGGACGTGTCGCTCGGATGAGTTCACCTGTGGCAATGGACGTTGCATACAAAATCGCTTCAAGTGTGACGACGACGACGACTGCGGCGATGGTTCGGATGAGAAGGAATGCGGGGAAAGACCTAAATGCCCCCAGGAGTCCTTTACCTGTCCAACTGGCACCTGCCTTCCCAGGGAATGGGTCTGCGACGGCGATTCAGACTGCGCTGGTGGCGCAGATGAGGTGAGTTCACAACCAAAATTATTTTGGTTTCAATATGTATCAGCATAAAATCAAAATCAAAATTTCACCGCATATATATATATATTTCCTGTAACCTGAAACTCCTTGCAAATACAAATTAATTCTTATATGAAGTGTGGGCAATGCCACAGTTTTTTCATTAAGTCGCATTTACATTGCAGTTTTTATTTATAAATAAAAAGGGAAAGAACAGTTTTCTTTGTGTGGAAGCTCATGAAATCTTTACCTTCAACTTGCAATGAAAATTGATATGAACACATTATCAAAGCACACACACACAGTGCACACACAGAGGAAGTGGTTTAACAGCCCTCGCATATAAATATATATTTATATGGAGCGAGCTAGGAAGCATAAATTATGCAAGACGCGAGCATTATTCAAAACTGGCAACGACGACGAGGACCATGTCGGCAACTGTTTCCCATAAACATTTATATGTATGACGCATGGCTTTTGTTGTCAGTAGTGGGTGGGTACCCGAAATTGCATGGCACCGAATAGCAATAAAAAAAGTTTCCAGCTATCCAAACAAACCGCATCTTTGATGTTCTTCAAAGGATTTATTTAAAAAATATTTGAAAATTGTTTAAAAATTCTACCAATAATTACTACAAGAATTGAAAACACAAGTTTTTGATTTATTTAAGTTTTAAGCAATGTGCTTAAAAACCTTTATATCAAATACACAACGGATTATAAACTTAAAACAATTTTTTCCATAAGCACCAAAGCTAAATAAATACATTGGTCGGATATACTTGTTTTCCAAAAGCGTATAAAGTGTGGAAAATGCTTTCTGGCATCTCCTAAAAGTATGCAAGGCAAAAAATGCAGGCGTTGGCCACAGGGACCTGTAAAAATATGTGTACAAGTGTATGTGTGCGTGCTGGTGCATAAGAGCTTGTGTGTACTGCTGTGTGTGTTTGTGAACCGGGCTTAGCTGTCTGAATATTTGGTTGGCACTTAACAAGAAAAGCAAACTGTTGTAGCTGCAGTAAAGTTAACTTCCCTTATCCTCGTCACGCGCAGAGATCCTTTTTCCAAGGACATTCCTGTTAATAGACAACATTGCCAAAATTAAAGCATTTTAAATGATAAAGACATTTTAATTTTATATTTGTCTATTAATTTTGAACCGTAGTAGAATCCTGAATTAAACTCTGCAATTTTATCCTTTTTTCTACCCTCCAAAGCAAAACTGTCACACTCGTCGCTTGAGTTTCTGTCATGCGTCCGAGTTCCAGTGCTCGGATCGCATCACCTGCCTGCACCCGTCGTGGGTGTGCGACGGCGAGGCAGATTGTGAAGATGGCGAGGACGAGTCACAGGAGAAGTGCGCGAACGTGTCCTGTCGTCCGGATCAGTTCCAGTGTGCCGATCGCAGCTGCATCGCCGGCCACTTGATCTGCAACGGGGACAGGGACTGTGCGGATGGCAGTGATGAGAAGACGTGCAACATCAGTGCACCGCTGAGGGGCTGCAATGCATCCAGCGAGTTCGATTGCGGTGGTGGCCAGTGCATTCCGCGGTCCAAAGTCTGTGACCAGAGGAAGGACTGTCCGAATGGCGAGGACGAGCCCGCTGGCAAGTGCAGCATCAATGAGTGCTCCAAGGGCAACGGCGGCTGCATGCACCAGTGTGTGGACATGGAGGTGGGTTTCCGCTGCGAGTGCCACGATGGCTACAAACTGGCCGCCGACAATCGCACCTGCGTGGACATCGATGAGTGCGAGACCCAAGGCGTTTGCTCCCAACGGTGCGTCAATGAGATCGGAGCCTTCAAGTGCGAGTGCGAGGCGGGCTACATGAGGGTCCTGAAGAACCACACTAGGTGCAAGGCCAGCGAAGGACATGCCTCGCTGCTCTTGGCCAGACGGCACGACATCCGGAAGATAGCCCTCGATCGCCCGGAAATGACTTCCATAGTGAACAGTACAAAGTCAGCCACTGCCCTGGACTTTGTCTTCCGCACGGGGATGATCTTCTGGAGCGATGTGACCACGCAGAGTATATATAAGGCGCCAATAGACGAGGGCAGTGAGCGCACTGTGGTGCTGACCAAATCCTCGGTGACCTCGGATGGCCTGGCTGTGGACTGGATCTACAACCACGTTTACTACACGGACACCAACAAGTGCACCATCGAACTGACCAACTTCGAGGGCAGCATGGGCAAGGTTCTGGTGAAGGACGCGCTGGACATTCCGCGCTCCATCGCCCTGGATCCCATCGATGGCTGGATGTACTGGTCCGACTGGGGCGCCTCTCCTCGCATCGAAAGGGCGGGCATGGACGGCTCCCACCGCACCGCCATCATCAGCTACGATGTCAAGTGGCCTAACGGCATCACCCTGGACCTGGTTCTCAAACGCCTCTACTGGGTGGACGGCAAGTTGAACTCCATTTCATCGGCCAACTACGACGGCTCGCAAAGGCGTCAGATTCTCTACTCCGCCGAATACCTGCGACATCCCTTCTCGATCACCACCTTCGAGGACTACGTCTACTGGACCGACTGGGACAAACAGGCCGTCTTCAAGGCCAACAAGTTTAATGGAGAAAATGTTGAGGCTGTCACCGCAACACATATGGTAAGTCTACTTTAAAATCATGTTGTTTTTAAATAAGAACTTATTGCATTTTGAATAATAATATATAAATTGAATTTTATTATTATATAGAAATATGTAAAAATGAAACCATTTAATATTATCAGTTTCAGTGAAATAAATTTGAATTAAATACTGATAGAATTGTTATTTAAAATGTATTATATGCATGTATGCGAATTTCCGATTTCAATGTCAAGCCAAGCTCTGATTAAAGCAGACAATCTGAATATTGTGAAACCGACTTAATTTACTTGTTAGTGCCAAGTTGTTCATTGTACGAACTTTGCGTGAGTTTAATCGAAAACAAAACAGGATGTCAAGCTAATGTTAAAATACTCAGAAACTGTCCATTCTTATCGGTCGTTAAAATATTTCAAGAATTTGAAGACGATTTATACTTAAACACTAAATTGTTTAATTTCATGCCAAATATAAGTCGAATATAAATTGAAAATGCTATTGTTATGAATACTTTTGTTAAACATTTAAAAATAAAGATTAAACATTTGGACAGAGAGTGAAACAAATTAACAATAATATAACTTTTTAACACATTTAATAAATTAAGATAACATTTTCGTTGCAGTTGGAACATCCCATGGTGGTGCATGTGTACCACCCGTACCGCCAACCCGATGGTGTGAACCACTGCCAGTCGGTCAACGGCCACTGCTCCCATCTCTGCCTGCCAGCTCCCAGGATTAACGAGAGAAGTCCCCGCATATCCTGCGCCTGTCCAACGGGTCTGAAGCTGATGGCCGACGGCCTTATGTGTGTGGAAGATTGTAAGTAGATTTTTTACTACACTCTATGCGAATTTCAGGGGGGTCTTCGTAATTGCATTCGAGCTGTCCGCCTCGATGGTCGTGTTTTGCGGTTGAGCTGACCAAAGGCGGCCAACAGAAGCGTGGCGATACAGAACGCTTCTCTGTTGCGGTTGCGGCCTTTTGAGTGGTCCACTGCACTGCGCATTTCATTCAATTGCATTTTCACCTTTTCGAATCTCATTATTTCAATAAAATTACCTTTGGTTTGTAGCGCGTATCCCAAGTGTGCGTCCCACTGCACCGATCCATCGGACGACCAACCAGTCATCTATTTCAACCACAAAACTACCTCCAGATGCGCACAGTGAAGCGCCGGGTATGCGACATTTTTCTTTGAAAACTATGGTGGTGGTTTTTTAGGGTTAAGCGGGGTTCGTAAAATCTCAAAATCTTAAAAATAAAATAATATAATTAAAAATCAAAACTGAGCCTCACGGATCATTAAAAACTTTAAGAAAGTTTTTTTTTTAACAAATTCGTGCTCATTTATCTAGTAAACAACATTAAATTTTTTAAGGCTTTAACAAATTTTAAAATCAGAGATATTTACGAACCCTAATGTAAAACAATTGAGTAGTAAGAATATGAAAGGGTTTAAGGAGAACTGGTGTTGGATTTATATAATAACATTTGTTTCAAGAGTGCTTACGTCCCTGTGAACATATTTTTCACCTGCATTTCTTGTTGTTTTAATTTTGGCATTTTATGCGACAATTTGTAGAGCAACATTTACGCAAACATATAGCCATCGTCGTCATCATCATTAATCAACATCAATGATATCGACGTAATCACTCAAAATGCACACACCAACACACACGAACTCTGGCCCAAATACTCATGCCAAATGCGGAGCGTAAAACATAAATATCGGGTGCACACACAGTGCAAAAACCACAAAAGGGAAGCATTGGTGACATGTTTAATGGCAACAGGACCACCCAGTCGCCCTCCGATTCCCCCAGCCGACTTATATCCAGCACTTACCCTGGTCGGGACTCCCGGTCCCGGATCCGGGCGAATTTCTCCGTGCAATTTGCGAACTGCTCTCTGACAGGGTGACATGGATTCGGATGGGAACGGAATGATGAACGGCTGACAACCGCAACAGCAGCAGCAAGGACATTTCAGCGGCAGTCGTCAACAAATCGCCATGAAATTAAATTGTACATAAGCAACACACCGAGTGATATGGAGCATGGCAAATAGTTTAACCAGAAATTCGTCATCACCAGCGCTACTATCGTCATCGTCATCAGCATCATCTTTATCCTCCCAGCAAATTGGCACTGTCAACACCTCGAACTGTCGACGTTTTGGGCGACATATTTGCAAAAGTGAATTACCCCTATCTGTCCTGGCCGGTGGCTCATACCTAAAAATGTATCGGACCACAAAGCCCATTTCTCTCTATTTTTAGTGTGTATTGTGTCTGCTGCATCCAGTGCCGTTTTCATCTGTTTCGTATCTATTGATTTAAATTAGAATTTTGGTTGCCATGTCTAAAAGCCGTATCATTATTTTTTATAAACCCACATTCAGCAATAGCTCTTTGATCAATTTAAGCTCGAAATTGTTCCGCATTCCAATATTAAAATTCAGGCCAAGCGGCATAAAGAAAGATATTTTACTGTGGCAACCGAATTTATGCCAGATTTTCTGGGGAATAAACAAGGCCAATATAGTGTATCCTTGCGCACAATAGAAAATCTTAAATTTTGAACGACCAGAAAACGCCATTGGGATACAATTTTTGTTGTTTTCCATGTGCATTTGATGCAAATCGAACATTAAAATAAGGTGATTTGGTAACTTCAAACAAAGTTCTTATCACTCTAAAATTCTGTGAATTATTTAAACGTTTCCGAGTACCTATTATAGAACGCAATTAGAGAAGCAAATTAGCCGCCCTCACAAAAAACAATTTTAACCAATGCCAGTCGTTATCCTCTTCAGTTGCCTGGCCGGCTTAGCAGTGAAAAGTGGGCAAACTTTCGGACGCTTTAAAATGTTGTCATGCCTACGGGGTGTAATCAAGTTTCCTGGGAAGACTTAGCGAGAAACCCACACAATTGTGCCTAATTACGAGAATTTAAAGAAGTCATAGTGGCGGGCTTAGCAGACGAGTCGCGGGGTTGAAGGTCGAGGACTCTAAAGAAGCTGCAACACACTTGCGGCCAAAGAATGACGACAACAGGGGCTTTAACAAAGTGGGCTCGGACCAAGTTTGCAGAGGCGCGGGTCAGTAAATAACTATAAACTAGTTAGAGACCATTTCAATTAGATGGTTCAGCCCTGCCAATGATGATGACGCTCGTCCCGCCAGCATAACTGCAATTTCAATTAGCGGTTTGTGCTACTTTTTCTATGGCCATCTCTGCCCACTTCAAATTGCTTAATTAAGCGCAGGCAAAGTTTCGCAAATACCCCAGAGACACACAGAGACGGGCAGTGCAATCCGGTTGGACAGACCCCCAGTCACCATAAACTTTGAGCCGTCGAAGTAACGACTGCGTTTTTAATAGCCAACCACATAAAATGGAGCTCACAGCGGGGAAAAGCGGGGAAAAGCGGGGAAAATCGGGGAAAATCCGAGGAAAAGGCAGTGGGGAGAACTGGGTGAACAGCTGCTGCTGTTCCTTGCAGCATTTTATGACTTTCATTTGCCTGCACTTCGGTCAGTCCGGCAATTGTTATTGCACGCCTCTAACTTTACTGCATATTGCCTCCGATGTAAAGACAACAATGGTAAGGGGGGTCAAAAAAGACCAAAAACATGACAGAAAAGCCGCCATTTTGTTTATTTGCATGCCACACCATTTTTGACTTCCTCTGCTTGTTTTTTGTTGTTTTATACAACTTTGCAACTTTTTTTTGGTTATCTAATCTGTTTTCATACCCTCTCGGAACCCAAAACAGGTGACGGAACATATTTTATGCGTTTTATTTCATTTGGGAAGGAAATTTGTGGCACGGCAGCCATTTTGTCGTACTTTTTATGGCACTTCCGGTGGCCGGGGATCGAGGGGTTCCGAGCACCTGCTATGCGTTATCCTGAGTTGGAGTTTCGAAATAAATATGAGAGCATATGTGCGGTATTATACAAATGGGCGATGAGGCATAACTCTCCGTTATATATCCAAATGTTTGCACGTCGGTATGTGTGTGTGTGTGTGAGTGAGGCACGGAAATTGCATTTCGTATTAGATTAGAAGTGAGCAATAATATATGACATTTCTAGGTAAGCATAAAACTGGCAGTTACCAAAGAGCAAATGCTAATTTGGTAAAGTAAAGTAAATTTATCTTTTCAAAATGGATAAAAACAGGATCTTAGATAAATAGATAAAGCAATTATCATTTTAATTTTCCAGCAAACACAGAAAATTTTGTTTTCAAAACAATGTTAGGCTGGAAAATATACTGAAAATAAATACATTCTAAGCTTTAGTGAAATGATAACCAAGACCTAAAACAAAAAATTGTTTAGCTGCCCCTAAAAAATTATAGGAAAATAAAGCAACAGCTGCTGGCAATTTGCTGACGCTTTCGCCTCAGTGAAGATAAACAGCCACACACTTAAACCAAAAGAAATTAATATGCCAGGCAACGTGCAACTTTTCAGATGCTTGTCCTGCCATTCGACTGTCTGTTAATGCCGCCAAAATAAATTTGCAGCATCTTAACGCCCGAATCGATGGCGCACATCTGTTGCCGCCATGAACTTTTAATGATAATTCCCTGCCACATGCTCTCTCGTCCAAATCTAAAAGTCCTCGTTTTGAATATTCGTAGGGCAAAAATTAATATGAACAACAGAAGTTGGAATATTTGGACGGGAAACTGGGATTTATTTCGCGGGTGGAATTGGGCGAAACCTAAGGACGCGCTAAAAGCACGCCAGATCCCTTGCCAGACGAACGCGCGCCTCCCGCGCTTAACTTTGTGCGCTTTTTTCTGCTGTTGAACAAATTCTAAACGGAAAAATATAAAAACGAATTATGATGACAGCGGAAAAATCCTACAACTTCCTGCCACCACAACAGCAAAAGGCAGAGAGTACAAACGCACAGAAGCCAACAGCAAAACCAGGGAAACCCCATAAGCGGAAACATTCGCCACGGGATGTAGTCGTCGTCGGCGACTTCTCTGCTTTTTTTTGCCCAGTGCCAAGCTCCGAGAAAGACAACATTTTAATTATATTTGGCCATAGGAATTATGAAATTGTGGGAGAATGCAGAAGAGCACGTAAAGGCATATTTTAATAATATTGTACGAGTTTGCCTTTGAAATACAGGAAGTTAATTTTGTATAAATAATTTACTTCATTGTGGTTTCATAATGGTTTGCATTGGCCTTAAATTATTTTATTTATGACCTTCCCTTTTTAAAAAAAATGTCTTTAAGATCAGTAAACAATACAATTTTCATAAATTTATCGTTCGCCTTAACATGGGTACTGGAATTAATTATTAATTTTTAAAAAACAATCTACATTTTCATTAACAATGTTTATATGATTATTTGTATCGGTATAATTTTTGTAATGTTATAAACCATGTTTTCTAAATTTATGATTTTACTTTATATATTTCTCCCAAACAGTTAAAGAGAAAGTTGGCGTGAATGGCACAGTCGTAATTGACAAAGCTGATGAGTCTGCCCAAAAGACAGAAAAGGACTACGGCCAAGTAGCCTTGATTGTGATAGCCAGTCTAACCAGTACCGCCGTACTAGCTTCCGTAAGTCTACTACAATTTTAATTTAACAAACAATTAACGAAGGTACGTTAATAACAATTACAGATCATCTTTGTTCTATACCGACGATGCACGCGGGCGGTGAACTCGATAAACTTCGAGAATCCCGTCTACCACAAGACGACGGAGGATCACTTCAGTCTGGAGAAGAACGTATCGCCGCATATGTACGCCACTGCCATGGAGGAGGAGGTAAGTGGGTCGGCCCCACAGATGGCCACAAATCCCAACGACTTTAGTTATGTCAGATTCTAGGAGGTGTTAGGTGCTAAGTTAATGTTGTACATAGATGGTAAGGTGCTCGTATCATAATTGTATCTAGGGCTAAGTAAGTTGATCCAACTAGAATGTAAACGATTAAGATATAATATTTATAAGACCAGAAATTGTTGTGAACGTAGCAAGTTTCAGATTTTGACTCCCCTTTAAACGATTTATTTTTTTTTTAATGCTGCGAGCCACGAAACCACGGTCCCAATTCAGATATTAGAAACGGTAAGTTGTGGTTATAAAATCCATATTAGTTCATTATTGGCCTAATATGTAACAGAATTTTTTGTGTTGTGTGTATAATTTAATTATCGTTTTATTGGTCTTTAATTTAATTTACTTTACCGGCGATTTGGGCATTTTTGCCTCCCATAAAATGTGTGCTTATAGAATTTCCGACCCGTGGGTCTTGCTAATTGCCAAACTGCAATGGCAATCAAAATGTGCATATCAATTAGCCAATTAACTAAAAGGCCAATTAAATGGAGTCAGTGAAGCTTCAAAATGTCCCAGAGCCCAACAGCTGCCCAACTAAAACCTGAAGCGATTCAATTTGCCGGGACATTTAAGTAAAATATTTCAATTAAATTTGCTTTTTTTCAAGTTTCACGCATTTTGCAGCTGCTTCGGTGCCAATTTTAATTAAAGCGGTTAATTAAAACATACAAAAATAAGACAAATCCAAGCGGAACTCGACAACAATGCATAACAAAAATTACGCAAAATTAAACAAAATGGAATTAAAAGAGATTTTCTGTTCACCAGCCATAGCCACCAATAAATAACACAATAATTTGCATACAAGCGAATTCATTAGTGCGATTTCAGGCCGCAAGCTTAGCGGTCGGCTGTTTTCATTAAGGCTTATAATTAGATATCCTCGGTTGGAAAGTGTTGTCGTTAAATCTCTTTTTTGTAAGTATTTAGCGGTGATTAAAATTTTACAAAATATTTTTACAAAAAACAAACAATAAGCCTTAATATCTAAAAAATCTTAGATGGAAAATTAGGGGTATATATATTGGTTTTTTTTTTTATAAAATGTGGTTTTTGAATAAGAATTACTATTTCATAGTTTTAGTTTGTTTTTTATTAAATTTTTTCTTTCGATTACGAAATATATATTTTTGCTTATATATAGTATATGTTTTGAATTTTAAGTATTTTTTTACAAACATAAATTTCAAAATTACAGAACTAACGAAATATTTTCTTTTAATCCATATAGTCTGGCAATCCTCTCTTTGAACCGAGCACCCAATGTGTCTAAGGCACCTCCAAAGTTTCATGTAAATGCATATCCAGCAAATAATGGACGATAGACCAAGAACAACTACAAAGCATCTCCTACTTGTAATTCCTTTTTGGACCAAGGCCCCAAAAACTCAACTAAGAAGTGAAAGTTCAATGAGAGAAATGCTAAGAAAACTGAGCTTTCTTTTAGCAGTAAGAAATGAAGAATGCCAAAAAGAATATAGAAAAGACAAGAACGATATCAGATTGGGGGCAAAAAAATACTCAACAAATTTAATTTGTTGCCTAGTTTAAAATTTAATTTAAATGTATCAACACTAAACACACACACAGATACCCTCACACACCAACATTCACATGCATTAACTAATAACAATGAAAAACCTTTTTAGGCGCAACGTTTTGACATCAACTAACGTCGCCCCACACACACACACACACAAACATCAACGCATATCCTCCCACCCACAACAACAACACCCACGCACACACACAAAAGCCCAGAAGAACTCAATGAAGGAACGAGCCGGGATTTAGAGCCAGAAGTCCAACTTTCCTTTCACGTCCATGAAATCAATTGTAAAAAGTTAAGAAATTTCGTTGAAGAAGAAGGAAACATTTTGTGAATTCGAAAAAGAACAGATTATAGCTAAACTGTAAATGTTTATAAGCCTAACAATTATTGTGACTAGCTATAATATATTTTTGTTATCAATGAACTAATTAAAAACAGTCTTGAAAGTAAAGTTTTTAGCACCAAGTTGGAATCCTTTTTAGCAAAATATTAAAGAAAAACCTCTCTGTAAATACATAGGTACTAAATTGTTTAGCAAAAATTTACAAGACAAAATTATAAATTTAGAGTGGTTGAAATCATTTTACCATTATACTTTGCTCCGTTTTCGTTCTTGAGTATTTACAACAATTTGCTGTGATCAGTTTAAAAGCATTAAACCTACATAAAAATCATTTAATTTTAATAAGTTTAATATTCCTCTCATTTAATTAATGTATAAACAAGCTTTCAAATATTTTTATTTATTTACAAATTTTACACAACAACAAACAATTTTATGTGTATTGGCAATTTTGGTTCCTGTGAAATATATTTTATTTTAGGCATTAAAAGTATTTGCTTGAATGCTTTTTTGAAAACAAAATATTAGCTTACTTAAAATGGTATGTGTGAAAAGTTGAATAAACAAATTTATGAAATTTTAGTAATAAATTAAAAAATAAACAAGAATAATGTAAATTAAAGTTCATTCAGAAAAATAAAATGGAATTTTAAGACAAGGAAAATGTAAATGTGTTTCATTTTTATGGCATATAACTATATATTTGAGAACTGAGATAAAGAACTTTCACGGGTTAATCTCTTAAATAAAAAATAAATAAAAATGCCTGCCTCAATATTAAGTTAATAATATTTTTAGTTACATTGTCCAATTTGTGTTTAAGTGATTTACTAAATTTATTTTATTCGCCACCAACGCTTTTCAATTCACTTAAAATCAAGTAAAACATTCAGTTAATTTCTTTAAGGAACATTTTAAGGAACTTCCAATCTCTGTGTGAAATATACGTTTTCAAGACCGGTACACAGGTCATTCAAAATATTTTCCTAGTCCAAAATAGCAAGAAACTCATCACCTGTATCTGATTTGTGTTCAGGAGATTATTAATCAACAAGTCAGGATTATCAATCAACTGCATGCTATTACTTCATTTGACCTCATTATCTTTGCAATGATAATCTAAGTGAACACCAAACATTGCTGGGCATCATTGCAATGCTGTATCGGAAGCTAATCGGGTTCACACATTGTGCTAATATCCACAACGCCGACACAGTTTTGAATTTTGTTGAGCTCACAAGGACACATCTGCATGGAACCAGACACGCAGCCATGAATTATTGAATGCTAATGGACAACTACGGCAATTATTTCACATGAGAGGACATCAATACGTAAGGAGCTCCGTCCGGAGCCAAAGTTTGAGGCACCCAGTCAACAGATTAAGCAGTCATTGGGGGTTTCTTTTTTGACCGGATAATATCTAAGCACTGACAGGTTTTAATTTCATCCCAAACCGCTTATCGAGCACCCATATTTAACAGGCTCTAACTTCTGTTTACCTAATTTATGGCTGGGAATTATCGGTGAGGGAAAGTCCGACGCAGCGATTTTCGGCGAATAAATAAGATTTTATGCCTTTCGGGCGTCTTTAATGTTATAATTTATGTAGCGCGCCTCGAAGCAGGCCACATTATTTTTGTTTATTGCTTGCAGGGCAGCCGGCTGTCATCGAAATTTCAACGTATTGTGAGTTGATTTCGGCTGGCACATCGATTTGAATCGATTATCCAGCGCGGCTCACGTTTGCCATGAAAATAAAATGTAAATAAAAGGCGACAGCGACACATTTGACACACGGCGCCGATAACTTTTTCAATTTAGATATGATCCCAAAAGTATGTCGGGAAACTGCTCAGATAATCCCCCAGCCAATGTCAGGTGTGTGCCCCTTTCCATTAGCCATATGCGACCAAATGGCAAAACACTGTTCCATGGCGCCACGCAGTTCCCTCGCCCAAATAAAGTGAAATCTACGAGAAAGGGGATTCCCTCCCTTTTGCACATTAAGGCGCACGGAATAAGCGACTCTGACTCAGCGTGAGTGTGTGCGTAAAGAACGTGGTGCCGGAGGATGAAAATCTGCAATTCAGCCGGAACATAGCATACATTTTGTCGTTTTGCCAGCCGCAGGCGGCCACCAAACAAAAACCCCACACACAAAGCGTACACAGAACATATTTGATTTGACTTTACAATTTCGCTTTTTTTGTATTCTTTTTGTAGTAAAAAATATACTCAGTTGTGTAGTATAAAAATATCATAGGTATGCGTCGGAAGCTCTCTGGTTTCGATTGTTTAAATCCTAGTCTTAAGATACAAGCAATTGTACAAAATAAAATTTAAAGCTTTACGTTACTAAAGGTGTAGTTCTTACTCATACTATTTTTAAAGTATATAAATAGTTACCCGTCAAATTAATTGTTTAAAATCAGTTTCTTAATTAAGACTAATTAATTAAGACTAAATAGTCACAAATATAAGGTTACTTAATTTTGATAAACATACAAAGTTATGTAGAAAGTTTTCAAGTTTTTTCCGAGTGTCAGCCAAAAGCCAATGAGCCTCTGCAGTTGGGCAAAAGAAATAGAACGAGGAAACGTGGCCAGAATTGTGTGTGGCTCGATGGGACGGGGTGGGGATGAGGGGGGGCGGATCAGACTGGGATGCATCTGAGCGACAACTTTGTACCACTCTTGATGCAGGAAACATGGCTGTCATTGGTCACGCTGCCACCACTGTACTTTGTTAGCGATGCGCAGCCAACGATAACTTTGGTGAACAATATCCTTAGCTCTCGGTTTTTTTTCCTTCTGCCTCTACTGCTTGTATGTTTTGCTAAAGGAAACTGCAAATGCAATTGCATTTCACGTTCGGATGAGATGTGAAATTGACGTCAAAAGGGTTTATATTGTGGCAGCTTCGTTGGCGACTTCTATGGGAAAAACTTTTGTTTCTTTGCAAAACTATTTTTAAAGCGCGTTCTAATAATTCTTTGTGTAGTTTTGAACGCATTTTTTAATAGAAATACATTTTTTAAAGACAGAGATTTTATTATTTCTATTGAGAGAAGAATGTTTTTTTTTAATAAATCGTTTTTTTTACGTTTTTAAGCTAAAGATTTTTAAGAAGTTCATATTGATGAGAGGTTTTTATTAAATAACTAAGGCAAGCTACAAACGCAGCTTTAAGACAGCGACTTTTGACGTTAAATTACCTAGCTCAGGAGCTTGGCATACTTTTAGAGATCAACTTCACCATTAATATGGCTGGGAACTAATGAGCCGAGCCACGCTGATTTTGCAGTGACTGTACCTGTCGCCATTCGCTTATCGAGAGTGTCAACAGGGGGGAACTTTAATTACAAGCCAAAACTTCATGGGACCTCGCCATGTTTGCAGCTGTAGTTGTAGATGTTGTTGTTGATGATGTTGTTGTTATTATTGCTGGGTTATCCTGGGGCCAATTGAATGGCACATGCACACAAGGTTAGTAGGCAAGTTCACAAGCCAAATATGCTGTGCGTATGCCATGGAATGTGGATTGGTTGCTGGTTCAGTGGGTGGTGCAGTGGGCGTTGCAGTAATGGGATTTCCAGAAGGAGTGGCGGCACTGTTGTCACTGCGTCTTGCACGCTGGACGACGTTGTTGGCTTGTCGGTCGAGTTGTTTGCACCACAATCTGAATAATGGATACGTTTCGTGCCACATTGAATGCCCAGCAGTAAGTGATATTGGCCGACGCATACTAGAGGTTTTACGTGGGCAGGTTTTCGGAATTGTTAATGTAATTACGCCTGACAGCCTTCTTTTACCACCTTTTCGGAGGGCTAATCAAGGGCCAAGTCGATAAGCATGTTGGAGTTTAAAATGCAGTCACGCAATTTGCCTAATTGCCGTGCGGCTAATCAAGTGACAAATTCTTGAGTATTCGCATTTCCTCAAACCCCAATCTGAAAAAACTTTGCAGACGGTCGTTGAGTGTGAGTGAAATTCATCAACTTCAAGTTGAAATAAACCCAAAAAAAAAGATGACAACATAAGGACAACGGGAGGCCGTAAGCTGCTTTTGTTTGCCATGATAAAATGACTACAAAATGGCGGCAGCTGACTTAACACAGTGTGTGTGTGAGTGGGAGTGCAAGTGGCACAAACACATTTGAACCCCAAGTCCTTTGGCCTTGGCGCAAAACTGTCGTCTGTCTTCTGCTCTGCGTGTGTGGCTTGAATTTCACTTTTTTATGCGGTGCGCTGGAAAAAGTTGTGCGATTTCCTTCCCTATCCTTTTCCCGGGTAAAATTACTTTCGCGCAAAGGTTGCCGCTCACTGCAGTGTACAAGGAAAACTGATGCTGCATTTCAATGTAAAAAAGTTATAATGAAAACTAAGTAATTTGGTAGGAACTGGCAAATGTTATCCTTGGAAAAAAGAAGGAGAAAGATATGGAGAAATAAGTACATAAGATTCACAATGAGGTGTTGAGCATCATTCAGTGTGCATTTTATAAATTAAAAAAATTAATTTATTTTGCAAAATTTTTCTTCAATTAAAGAGTATCGAAGAGTATCTATAAAAAATTTTTCAGGCAGATAAAAAATCTGACATTTCATTAATCAAAATCTCTTCAAATTGTAAAAAGAAATCACCCACATACAACACATCTAGTCTTATTCTATATATTTGTAAATATGTACATGGAATAGTTAAAGATATTGCACATTACTTTTAATTTGTATTTCAATATTTAAATTTCTTTATTTTATAAATCTTTTTTGTAATGTTTTCGACCCGAACTTAACTTTCAAGCTTGTTTGCAAATATTAAACTTAAAACGCCAGCGACAGATGTCGGCGGGATTTCTTTTCGCTTTTTCGATTACTTGGAGCGAAAGTAAAGGGAAAGCGGAAAGTTCTTATTGCGGTTGGCAGCAGATTGCACCATGAGCGTGTGTGTAAGAGAGTGTGGCCGCCGGTTTGTTAACATGGTAACTAGTGTGCGTGATACGATCTGCAATGGTGGTGATAGAATCTACAGACCAAAAAAAACTTAATTGACAGCTTTAAATACTTGGTGAAAACTGCATAGATTAATGTCCTAACTGCAAATATTTTTAATCAGTTTGGATCACATCATTTTGTTTATTTCGGAAAGAGTCTTGTAAGCTTCATAAATTAAAAAAATTGAGCCCAAAATTTGTTCAGTAACTATTGCCAAATCGTTTGACAATTTCATTATTTGCTGCTGCACAACAAATAATATGTAATATGAAAGACTCCATCGACCAAAATGTTATTTAATTAGGTAACATAATTGCTGACACTAGCCATCGATGTTGGCAAATAATTTGAATTATTTTTGTGCTGGTCAATCAATTAATGACAAACAAACCAATCGGAAAACTATTAGACTGCACATGCGAAGAGAGGGCAAACCAATTCGCAAATCGTGGCGTCGTGCTGCGAAATTAATTAGATTTAATCGAAGGCTAGTGGTCTGTCAACATTCGTTTGCCAAAGTTATTGAAGGAGCTCCACTTACCACAGCACATCCTCTTAAGTTGTTGTTGCACTACCCACTGTATTG